TGGAAGAGAATGTGTAAAGTCCAAAGCACAATGAAAGTTTATATCAAAATATTTGGTAAACTAACACCTGAATATTATTTTTGAAAACTAGAGTTGATCAGAACTCTGTGTAGAAAATTTTTAGTGGCTGATACAAGTACAAATGAGCAAATTTTGTTAAGCAGCTTCCTGTTAAAGTTGCAGGTAGCAACCTTATGAAGAAGCAGAGCACAAGGACCATTAATGTATTCTCAGAATAAAGAGTTTAGGGGTTTTAGAGTAAACAAACCAAAAATTTAATATAATCAAAACATATTTTTGCCAAGTAAGCATTAGTCCCGTGTCTCCATTGCACTAATAAAAAGCAGGGTACAGCCGTTTCCTCTAGCAGCAGACTGTCTTGCTGCTTTGTTGCTTTCATCTGTAACCCCCTTAGATTATGTCTCTGCTCTTCCTTACCTGATGATTATTCACTGTTTTATAGTTTAATTTTATGAATAAGTTTATTTTGTTTGATTTATATTGTACTTGAGTGTTACTTCTTGCAGGAATTTGCCATAAGCAAAAATATTCAGCTGGGTGATGAGAAGGGCCTCAGATTTCCTTGTGTTTGGGACTGGTCTCTTCAGTTTACAAGCAGGGATCGCCTGCTCTTTCACAACCCCTTGTATATCGGGAAGAGCGCACCGTGTGTACAAAATGGAGCAGTGAAAACTTTTAAACGCTCAAAGGTAACTATGGCGTTATCTGTCTGCGGACCGTTTCTGCTTAAATATAAGATGTGAATGCTTAAAGATGTAGAGTTATGTGGTGTCTTACACCCTCTCTTTAGCAATAGGAGTGTTTTTTTACTCACAGCCTAAAGAAAAATTACTCAGATTTCTATAGATGCAAAGACTGCAATTGTTGAACCTCGCATTCCAGGGCATTTTTGGATATGCCTGAACTGGCTGCCAACAGCTCCGTTATTTCACCTGTGGAAAAGTGGTGACACGCCTCTTTCTTTTCCTCAGAGCTGTCAACTTTGTCGGTGAATACTGATTAATTCAATCATTCATTGCTCTAGAAAGTCTAGGAAACAAGTATTTCCTTGTCAAGGCCTTAAGTAGCCACATTGTTTGGTCTGTGAGCCATGCAGTGGTGACTCATGAGCGTCCAACTATTTAAAGGTCACATCATTATCTGGATGAGGCATCGTAGAAGCTCAGGGAGATCTGCTGTTGAAATGAGCATAAAATTGCTGGTATTTATTTTCTGCAGAAAAACTACAGCTCAACTTTGCGAGGTGCCCCCCCTGTGTTAAAAAATGGAATCATCAGTGACCAGGAGTTCCTTCCAAGAAGAAACTCTCTGATACTAAAACTGAAACCAGACTTTTTACAGCAAACGGAGAGTCAGAGTAACAGTATGGAACAGTACTTCAGAGACTGGTTTACGAAGCCTGTTGATTTGCACGGTGTGATTTTACCCCATATCTCTGGAACACAAATAAAACTCTGGAAACTGTGCTACTTCCGCTGGGTTCCTGAGGCCCAGATTAATCACGGTGGCTTCATCACTGCTTTTCACAAAGTTTCTTTGCTGGCAGATGAAGTGGACATGTTAAACCGGAACCTCCGACAGTACAAAAGCAACTCTTCTTTGCAAGGTAGCTGCTCAGAACTGGATCAAAGCAGAATGTACTTCAGAGCAAATGGTTTAAACGACACCACTGGGGCCCCAGACTTTCTCTCCTCTTCTTTCCCATTTTCACCTGTAGGGAACCTGTGCAGACGGAGCATTCTGGGAACACCTTTAAGTAAATTTTTAAGTGGTGCCAAAATTTGGCTATCCACTGAGACGCTTGCAAACGAAGACTAAGATGATGTGATGATTTAAAGGCTTGGGGAGAACATAGCATATCATTTTGTCTTTTCTAATTTAACACTGCTAAATGCGGCATTGAAAGCTGTAATAATTTTATATACAAGAATTTCGTAAGTTTTGCACAAATATTTAAAAGCAAAGCGAGTCGTGCTTCTAATCGCACAATTTTGTCTTCAGTAGTTCTCATCTACATGTCTTGTTTGGTTTCTGGTTCCTAATTCATTCTGTGTTTTTGGGGTTTGGCTCATTATATACGATCGAGCATTTGTAATGCTAATTGAAAGGCTTGGTGCAGTCATTACTGAGGGTTGTTTGAAATACCTGTTGTCCCAGATAGTGACTGGAGTGACTTTGTGTCAAACAGACTGACAAATCAAGGTAGTTAGATGCAGCAGACACAAACTGACAACTGAAATCTGGGAACAAACTATTTCATCACATTTCCTTTTCAGGAAGAATATGTGTGAACATATGGACTAATGTTCTGTGACTTGATCACCCTACATACGTGCATCCATGGGGGGAGTGTTCCCTTTTCTTTGTCTCCCCAAAACACATCCATTAACAATCAGTCAGATTTGTGCTCTTTGTCAGGAGCTTGACTTTAGGCTATAGGAATCAACTTCAGGACAATGCACTGTTAAACTTAAAACATTTACTGTACATACGGTATCATAGTAGCTTTAGAAGTGCCTTTAATCGGGAGGAAACTGTAGCAGGATTTACTCCGATGCAGCTACCCACCCATCCACCCCTGGCCTTTCTACAGTCAATTTTTCCGCCAAGTTCTAGTTCCACCCTCTGCCTTTCCCTCCCCATTTCTGGAATAACAGAAGGCTGGCTTAGGAGACAGTAGGGTTTTTTTCCTCTCAAAGTTTAAGCTCATTTTTAAGTTTCATAAGAGCCTCGTTTTTTTTCTTTAAGCACCTGAAATACTCACCATTGTATCCCTGCACAGATCTGGATCCCTGACAACCCCTCTCATAGCTCTGTTTCAGGATGAAGTAGCTTTCAGCAGAATTCATACTTAAGCCCTGCAGGGTTCCAGAAATGAGGCTGTGCTCTTAGTGGCTAAATCACCGAGGGGTGCTGGTGCTGTTGTCACTTTCGAACAGGGCTGGAAGAAGAGTGGTTAGCAGTGCCTTCTTTTTTTTACGTACTCCTAGCACACGCGAACAGCATAGTGGACAAGCACAGCTTGAGGGAATTAAATCCAACAGCCTCCCTCTGCCTAATGCAGCAGCTTCCTCACTGCTCTTAAATCTTTTAAATGCCACTCACTGTCAGATGCTGAGTGAAAAACTCTCAACTTTCTTAGGGAGAAAAATGAGAGTGAAGTGCACTGGGGTGGAGGGGGATAGTGGTGTGTCATTCTCACAGGTTAAGGCATTGGTGGAGGACAAGAGAGTGCTTCTGTTGAGTACCTGCTTTTAACAGTGAGTCTTCCTTTTATATTAACTGATTTTTACGTAAAATGCAAAAACTCTTAAACTGATGGTGAGCCTCTCTTCAAGCACCAACTTGCAGGTTAAGGCTCTGAAGGCCTTGTATGAAGCTATTCTCAGTTATGGAAAAAAAAAAGTTTGACGTTCATACCCACTATATTGTGGTGGGAAAAAAAAAAAAGGCAGGGGAATAAGATTTGGAGCTGTTCATTTGTCTATGAAACCAAACACTGGTCTTCAGCACAGCCTGTATCACAATAATAAGGGTTTTGGATGTCTCAGATTGCTCATGTATTACAAGTGCCAACTTTGTGCTAGAAAGTCTGGTGCATACAGGACTGTATTTTCTGAAAATTATCCAAACTGCAAAGCTGTTGAACAGTGGGTATGCTGCATTCTCACACTGCATTTGGTCTGGTGGGGATAGGAGGCAGTTTCATTTTAAAGGTGAGCTGATATAAAAGAGGAGAAAGAAAAGACTTCCTTTTTTTAACTAACCAAACCCCCCAAAACCTGTTGTTATGCAAAGAAGCAGTGTGTGTGTGCACACGCATGTGCACACATGCACATTATGACACAACGCCAGATTGTTTCTGGTCAACTGTTTGTGAGGAAAAAACGTGTATTCACCTCAATTGCCTAATTATGCTGCAAGATGGTTTAAGCATGTTATATGGTCCACAAACTAGTTCTGTTTATTTACAAGCTTGTTGAAGCAGTCAACTAACCTGTTCGATTCATTATTCAAATGGTTGTATTAGTTTGCTTTTGTATTTTTTTTTAAACTAGCTTACTGCTTTCCCTGGCCTGATACTTGACATAAAAGACCTCAACCTGTGTGCTTAGTGTATTTTGGTACCAGTTCTTCCTCTCTGTTAAATTACAGTTAAAAATATGCTTTTTTTTTTTTTTTTCCTTAAAGGTAAAACTTTGTTTGGTTTAAAGGTACCAAAAATGTGTAAATAAATTACTCCACACAGGCAGCTGGTGGAATAAAAAAAAATAAATAATAATGTTAAGCTAGTACCCGTTAGGGAAAAATGGGTACTATATTTAAACAGGATTGACTTCTTTGTAAGGAGATTTCAGAAATTTTTACATTTCAGTTCTAAGATGTGTACAGATGCTGCAGATGGTCTTTGTACTTTATATTGTTATATATATATATAGCATTGGGGGGGGGGGGGGGCTTTAAAAATAATATGCCTTTAAAATAAAACCTTTCTAAATGCCTATTTGCCAAACAGACTTGAAAAGTAATTTCACAAAGTTCAAAAAGGGGAGTTAGGCAGGTGAGGCTGGGATGGTGATAAGCGTGGGGAAGGAGCGGTGGGGACCCCCTTAATACGTGGCTGAGGGGGCACAGGGAGGAAGGGAGGAATTGTCCCGAAAAATACAGACAAGGTTCTGCTTCCTTGTGTTTGCATGGGCCTTGCCCATGAACAAACTACTGTGTGTGTGTGTGCGCATGCATGCCTGTGGATGCTGTTTCTTCCCCTTAAGTTAAACAGATTTTGTTTTGTTTTTCTTTTTAAACACAGGTACTAGAAGTTAATTTTAAAATATTTCCCACTCTACACAGTTGCCTTATTGTCAGTAGGGACTGCTCTAAATGTCTTTAATAGCTTTCAAAAGCATTTTTGGGGTGTGAGTACTTATCTTTAACTTCTGTGTACAAAGTACTGACATACAAGTGTATATATGTGTGTGTGTGTATATATGTACACGTTTTCAAATTATAATTCTGTTCACTGTTTCAACATACTAAACTGTTAATGCCATTTTGATGCTACCAGAATAGAAAAACTACCAAGAAGCTCATCTTTTTTGTCTGTTTCTAAAAAAAAAAATATATGTGCACTATTTTGGCTGTTACTGGCTGTTATAATCATGATTTTTTTTTGTAACTACACTGTAAACCATGCGGGGGGAAATATGAAATGCTGGTTGATATGGTTAACGTGTACCTCCAGTATCACTAATTACTGCTAGGTAAAGATTACTGTAGACTTAGTAATCATGGTGGTACAACTTTATTCCCCATTTACTGCCATGTATCAAAGAAATTCCTTTCATTCCTGAAATGCATTGAAAAGTGTGTGTTTGTGTGTATACAGATAACCAGGCCTGCACATGTGTTTAATGTGCACCTGCCTGCAATACCACTTTGCTTTTAACTGCCTTGTATTTTTAATGAAGATGTAGCAAGTGGGGCAAAGGTTTTGGCTTATGCTCAGACAGAAAGAAACAATAAAAACAAAAAATTTCTAACCAACAGTTAAGCAAAGGATGAGATCTTAAATTTGCCTCCACCATAAGAGACAGAAATCTGTACCTCAAATTGCTCTAGGCAGTAGGTTTCTAATGCTGTTGCTGTGATGGCTTAGAGTTCACTATTTCAACTGAAACTAAAACCTTTGTGCCTGATAATGATTTATTGAGTAAAGTAGCAGTGCCAGGAAGATTATAAAATCCTGATGCCGAATTGTGAATGTGAAGTAAATTAGACTAAATAAAAGTTCATACCTTTCCACAGTGAACTTCAGGTGGCTTTCTTTCACTTCCTCTAATGGAACAAAAACTTGTATTTGTTTTTTTTCCCCAAGAAAAGCACAGACACTGTGCTGTATGAAAAATGATTAAGAAAAAAAAAAGTGCAGCTGATCTTAATTTCTCACTACATTCTATAAAGGTGTCAGCTATTTGTATGATAAACAGAATATCTGTTATCAGACAAACGTGGCATGAGAATGAAGACTCCAGGGAAAAGCTGTTGGCTACATGTTAAAATTGAGACAGACCCACTGCATTTTTCATGTCTTAAAAAAAGGACTTGGCTTTTGGTTCCATTTCAATTGACTCGCTTCTCTGTGAAGGAGCATACACATCCGTTTATGTAGGGCAATACTCACTATGATGAATGATGTGCAAACGAGTGCTGCAACCTATCTACTACCAGAAACACTTCCCCTTTTTGCAGATAACACATTGCAGATCACACGTATGTGTGAGACACAAGGAACGATTAAGCAAGCCTTTCAGTTATAGCAGCAAATTAAATTAGCACTTATACACACACATACCTTACTCTATGCTATCATTTTGACCTTTTTTATATTAAAATGAGAAATTGGAATACAGAATATGAAGTAGGGACAATTGGAGACCCATGCTGGTCCTGACATCCTGGGAGAGGAGGTGAGCATGAAACCTGCACAACATAATGAACACGCTCAAGCTACCAAGGCAACATGGAAACGATCAGACCTTGATGTCCCACATTTTTTATTGTAGAGAGTGTTCTCATGGGTACAAATGTGACTGCAGCTGTTTGTCTTCACTGGGCAGAGATTACTTTTCACAGATTAAATTATGAATTGTGTATAAAAGAGGCTATGTTCTTCTGAACACAAGTGATGTACGTTAAATCATGAAGTTTTTTCAAACTATTCTTTAGAATGTTTTGTGCTCCAAGAAGCCAGAGTTTAGAAGACAATATTTTAAACAAGCAGCAGCCAGTAGTGTGTGTTGTGCCATTTCCTTTAAAACACCCAAGTTACCCGTGTGAGCAAGACATCTCTTGTCAACTGAGGCGTTTACTCTTAGCTCCAACTGCTTGCACATGGCAGACTTCTACTGTAGCACCCAGCTTCTTCAGTTCACTCAGCCAGATCATCTGCTTGGGGGACAGGCGATCATTGGGACCTTTCACTTCCACCAGCTGCAAAGAAATGATTGATTAACAGCGTGCCTTATGTGGAGGAACTGAAAAATCATTCATTCCAACAGACTAATGAAGAATTATTTTATGGCTGTTATTTGCAACACAAGTAATACAGATTTACATTACATCTGACCAGTGGGCACTAAGTGATTAACCCGGGTCCCTAAGTGTAAGAATGAAATTTGATGTAGCAATCACCCCCAAAACACAGCCAGAGGCACTGGAGAAGGAAGAGACCACATATTCAAAGCCTGATCATCTACAACCTTGTCTGTCATTCACCTCCAGTACCACAGTGCCAGCTTATACTGACAGCAACTGAAAATACACTACGTCAGCTGTTTTAGAGAACTGATTTCTGCTGTTCAGCTGTGGTTTATAAATGCATAACAAGATGCTTCAACAGCTGAGATGTGCAATAGTCTTCTAGCAACTATTTCACTATGATGCAAGACACAAACCATGACTGTTTACTCAATTTTGGTAGTAGAGAGAGTTCTGTAGTTAGCTCACATATTCAAGTTTTTGTGTAAGTGGTGACTTGAGCGCTCCTTTCCAACAACAGTCTGAATCTGTATGGCTGCTTAAGCGCTTGCTAAACAATTGCCTTACAGTAAATTTAACCAAAAAGATCTACTCTGTAACAATACCGAGCCACCTCTTGCTGGTTCTTACACCCATTAAGCCCACACCAAAATAAGTGATAACAGCAAAGCAATCGGTCACTATTTGCTGCACACGATACCTTAAAGTGATTACTGTGAGTACTCCACACAACCAGGTCAGGCAGTCCCCCTCTGCAATGGCGCAGATCTTTGGAAAGTCGCCTAAAAACACCACTCAGAAACATTCCTCCAAGGCAAGTGACAAGGCTCTGGAAGAGAAATTTAGGCAGTTGACCTCTTTAATTTCTTGTACAGCCATTTCTCAGTCCTCATAAGAATATTCTATGGCCAGTCTCAGTGTCTTAGTCACAAGTAATGAGCAATTTAGATGTTATCTACAGCAATTTCCCCTCTGTGTTCCCAACTACTGTTGCAGGAGACGTGGCCATATCAGAAAAGCGTAACAGCACCTGGGATTAGCAAGAAGTGTGCTGAAGTCCCCATGCAATTCCCCCCCCCTCCCAGCCAGTCTTGACTCCGTGCCTCAGCACAAACTGTGAGCACACCATGACTCTGTGTGTGAGTTAGCAGCCTGATGAAGCAGAGCACCTGCTCTCGACAATAGTTATTTACCTGAACTTGTTGGAGGGAATCAAAACGTCCCCAGCTAACCAGTGCTGCTGCTTTTCCCTCCTGAGTAGTCCAGATGTCAGCAATCAACTTTGCCAGTTTCTCTGAGGAAGATGCATGAAGCTGCTGGAGTCTGGCCTCAATGACATCCCTCCTGTTCTCATAGAAGCTGTCAGTGTATAAATCCAGAGGGACTGTCTGTATGACAAGGTAAACACAGCTCTGAGGAGCTGCCGGCAAAGCAGCGATTCCAAGAATGACAGTGCCCTACTTTGCACTTTTCTTCATCTGAGCTACCAAGTCACTCAGAATGAGACAACTGAACATAACCATACCCATTCCATAAGCCCCTATTAAGCAGGAGAAGAGCTGCATATATTTTAACAGTTGATGTCAGTGCAGCAAACGCTGGCCACATCTTAGCACATGCTGGTTGTTTTTTTTTTTTTGAACCCTGGTCAGAGGTTCCTTTAATAAGCAGAAAACAAAATAGTGCTCTCTAAGGCGCCAAGCAGTAATACTAGAGTTAGAATTTGTTATCAGGATCAAGACTGCTCAGCTACAGTGAAACAGGATAGGGGCAGGGGGAAAAAGCAGTGGTAAAACTGGGGAATATCAATCAAGCCTCCTAAAAGCAGAGATCTCTGAACACATCACAGTATAAAAAGTCCTTAAAGCTATTATTTGATTTTGAACATGGGCAAAAATGGCAGGCAAGTAGATGAGTGCCGTTCTAGCTTTTCAAGCTTAAATGCAGAGCAGTTAGAGAATATTGAATTTCAGACCTCCTTACACAAACTGCTGCCACAGCTAATCCTGGGAAATGCAGAGTAGGACTGTCTGTGTGAGCCTTCAGCTTTTAAGCCTTGCGATAGCTTTGCTGTGTTAAGTAAAATGTAGCTAACAACAACAACTAATAAGCAAATGAGCTACAAATGTGCTCGTAATGAGCAAGCTCAAGAGCACATGCAAGGTGTTTTTTTTCTAAAGAAAATAAAAAGCAATAACAATTAAAAAAACATGCATGCCACACCTTTAAAATACAAGGAAATTTCTGCCTGAGCTAAGTTATACTGATATAAATCTGTAACATCATACAGTACAAATAATACATCTGCTTAGGGAGGAGGACCACACCAGCTGTTCTACCTCTTGGATAGGGTTCCAATTAGAAGCAATGATTAAGGTAGAAGAAAGAAGAAAAAATGTTTGGCCTTTTTACAGTCCTATGACATCTGAGATTATAGCGCGTTGGAGTTTTCTTAGCAAACATCACTACAAGATCAAGTTTTCTAGTTGGAATTATTAAAAGCGTTTGTATCTGTAATTTGTAAAGCGTCTATATAAAAGCCACAAATTTACCAGTAATCATTAAGCTTCATGACAGAGCTCCTGGGGATGGAGGGTGTATTTTTGTTTGCTTATTTATTAAAAAAAAAAAAAAAAGTGTTAGCCCAAAAGCATGAACATGTTTGGGCTGAGTGGATGGGGGTGGGGGGTAAACAAACTTGAGCTTTACAATGTGATTTCTCTTTAAAGGTTACTGAAAATAAATTGGCTCTTTTTAACAGAATGTGTCAGCTTCAAATGACATGAACTATATCCTACGGAATAGCAGTGTTCCTGCACTTAAAGGACCCTTCAGCCAGTGAGTTCAGATATCGGACATCTGCATTTAACCAGATGTATCCTACCCTACCTGACAGCCGATCCAGTCTTACATGGTTGTTAGTTACTGAGGAGCCCTTTAGCAACAAGCCCCACGTAACTGTGTAAAACAAGCAATGCCAAAACCTTTCTGAAAAGTCCCTCAGAATAAAATGTGAATCCAAATAAGATTGTTAACACAGCTACAAATCCTAAAGCAATATGGGTAAAGAAATAATTAAGAAAAAAAAAACAACAACAACAACTTTTAAAAGTACCTGATAGGAATTTCTGAAGACATCAGGTATGTCATCCATGTAAACGATATCCCACATTAGAATACCATACAGTGTAATAAATGTTGACCCTTCGCCATGAATACCTTAAGAGCAAACACAAATATTTCAGTCATAAAAATTGAAACATCGTAAACTTCTACAGCAACCACATCTGAAGAGCTGCTAAATCAGCATGATCCAAAACAGGAACAGGCTATGTTCTGGTTTATAGGCAACTGAAGCTAGTATATATTAACATTGCAGCAAAAAGTTATAAATATGTTTTATTACTCAAACAGCTTGCTAATGCCTTCCATTCCAGGCTAGTGGCCTTCATTTACAGGATAAGATTAAATGACCATGCCCTGTTACAATAAGGCTTACTTTTCTAACATTAATGATTTAGTATGAATTAATATTTTATAAACTCCATACTATTATACCATTTATTATATATCTATAAAATATGTGTACTACATATACATTGTATAAATTAGTTAACATACATTATATATCACATATATTATGTGTTGCTAAGTAATATCTTTTTTAGTATAATATTGATACTGCAGTATAGTAAAATAGAATGTATTATAGTATATAGTATGTAATATATGTTACGTGATATGTATTATATCTATCACATATATATGATTATATGTTGTATAGTGCAACATTTGTGTTATTATATATGTATATTATATATACATATATATAAATACACATATATATATTATACATGTATATTGTACATATACAATATATATATATGTATCATTTAAATGCATACTGTGAATATAGCTACATATGTATATCTTGTCATATATGTATACATACAACACAGATAATTTTAGATGTCATTTACATGAACATGTAAATATATATGCTGAGTAAAAAAATGTTTCATTATGTTCATATATATAAACAAGCAGTTGCTGAGTGTCTTGCTATAGTACATCCTGTTCTCAGGTTCATCTAGTACCAAAGATCACTGGACATCTATTTACCTTTCCTGTAAAGTATGTATCTTCCTTAATGACACTCTCTTGATGGTCAGTGCTAGTTTGCCCCTAACAAACGTATAGTTGTTCACTGATAAGAAAAACAAAATAAGCATTTTTCTAAGGAGTGAAAGAAGAAACACTTTTTTTTCTTAATACATTACAAAACTGCCTTTCGTACTTGAAGGCAGCAAATCATTAAAGGCCAGGAAGAAGGTCAGCTGGAAAATACTTATTAGAGCATTCTGCAAAATAGAATCAGACTGAAAACCGGTCTATTTAATTAACTCAACTGCTTAGTAAATTAGAGTTACTAAGTACTTAGTAACTCTAGTTACTTAGTAAATTAGAGTTACTGCTTAGTAACTCTTTGATCCAATAGTTATCTTACTTTATATTTAAAAAAAAAAAGTTAACATTACCCTGATCATATCCATTCTTCCTGTAATGAGTTAACGCAAGCTCCTCAACTGAGCACATGACTGTGGATACACTGAAGTCTTTGCCTCCTTCTTCATCACCGACATCCTCCATTAGAAATACAGATTTTCCCAGTCCCATTTGAGGACACATCTTTCCTTTGATTGTAACCTGAACATATTAAAACAACTAGTTACTTCCTAGTATCTCATTTAAAAAAACTTTAGCCTAGATATCCAAAGCCCTCCTAAAAATACAGATCTTCTTATCAGTTTTCTTAAACCAAAACCTGACTGCTTCCAAAAATCAAGTGACTAAAATTTAGCTGGCCATTCCCTTGAAACCATCCTGTTAAAAGATTTTCTCAATGGCAAATCAGCTTTTCTAAACTGGCAAATTATTCAGAAAAAAAAAAAAATCTCATAAAAATGCTGAGCAGAATGGAATGTTAGTATTTCCATATGTGAGACCAAGACAAAAGAGTACGGACAACTAAAGAGACAGATTCTGGCCTGAAAAAAGAAGGGCTGTAGTGAGGTATGCAGTGACAGGGATGAGAGAGAACAAGGCTCTGCTCTGACTTTGCCCACATACAAATCTCTCTGCAAAAGTATGGAAAAGAATGCGTTTAAAAAAAAAAAAAAGAAAAAAGAAAAAAAAGGCATTCCAATATGATGCAAGTGCACTATATTTCACAGTTTCATAGGGTATATTTAGAGTGTATAACTCCAAAAGATTGTAAAAGAAATCCTTGCTTTTTCTTGTGCCATTAGTCTAATGCTCATATCATCCTACTACTTTTTCTTACACACAGAATGCCTGAAGACATCAGAAGCAATGCACAGACTTGCTCAGGCTCTTCTGACAGAAAAGTTCCGAGGGTGTTACTGGTATTAATTAATGGGGTTTAGATATAAACAGATTTGCACGAATGAGTTTGTACATGAGGTTTTTGTTTTAGAAACACATTTGCCTTCACTTTCCTAGAGAAGAAGCCAGAGTTTGGTGAATAGCACATACTGACAGTTTCCCAGTTTACTTCTTGTCAAAATGATAAAGGCTTCATGAGATCGTGTATCTCAGAAGCTCCTGGCATCTTTACTTACATGAGTCACGTCCTCCACAGTTATGACTGGCAGATCATGCAATAGGCATCTGAACTGCCTGCAGCTTGGCGAGTCTCTGATGCGAAGGGCCCGCTGGTAGAGAGAGAGACGATGCCCAGTACGTACAAATGGGTCTGCCAGTCCATTTCGAATACAGTCAATGGCCTAGTAAAGATCAAGATAATGAGCAGTAATTTAGCTAGACCTATGCAAATCCTTCTATTCTTACCAGAACTAATTGATTTAAAGAGCACAAAAATGTGAATGCAAAAAGCTAGCACATAAACAGGGCTGCCTTTCTTATATGTGTAATGAAGTTCTGGCTATTATTTTGCATTGGAATTCTTCTGGATTAAAATTTTGATTGCACTGGTATGTAAAAAAGGAATTACTATCCATTTGTACTGATCAATATAAGACTGAGTGTAAAATCTATGTAAGTGACTAGAAAAAAGTTAGCTCTCAGGCATATAAGCTTAATACTTTTAAGCCTGTTTCTTCATACTTAAAATGGAAACAGAAGGACTAGATCATTTGTACAAGAATGCACATGCAGAGCAACTTTTAGACCGATGCACGACATGCACTGATGAAGATCCAAGGCTAATTCTAGAATTAAAAAAATAATTATTCAAATTACAGTTGTGACGTACTGTCTTTCTGTGACTTGGAAAGGCATTTTGTCCTAATTTATAAATGACTGAGACTCTTCCTTTGTACAACTTCCAATTCAAAATCTAGAAATAGCCTGATGTTAAGCTACAAGATGCAGAAGAGATGCTGCAGGCACTAGACAGCCTATGGTATTATTTCCTATAACAGAGTTACAGAATTAAATACAACAGAAAGTACAACAGAAAGTACAAGCATTTAATGCCAATTCTCAATAGCCTTGCTCAGGCAAGTAAGCAACAGCAAGAAAAAAAAAGTTATTCTCAGCTTATTTTAAGTAACTCTACAACTGGTACTGTTCCTGGACTTAAATCTTTTTTTTTTTTTTTCTTCACAATTTTTCACTGCCAAATTAGTCATATATCTTAGGCGTGTTTAATTACATTGGCTTTCTTAATTATGAGATAAAAGTTGATTTTCAGTCTCCCTGTCCCACTTTGCTTAAATTGTCCTACAGTTTCAGTCACTAACATTATTTCTGCATTGTATGTAACAGACAAGAAAAATGGACATCATCTTCCTGTATTTACAATTCTTCAGACAAACAGCTGATACAACTACCACCTGCTGTTTTCCTTCTTTATTCCAGATATGGCTTCTTCATGACTTGGGTTCAGAAGCAGAAGCATTTACTGCACATAATTTCTCTGCTTCTCAGATATCAGGCATATTTATAAGGAAGAACAGAAGAGGATGTTGCTGATTGGTAACTCTATACAATCCCTCAAGCCTTGTGTTGTGTTCTTCTACACAACACAAAAAAGCAGGTCAACCAAGGATAGTTGACCTTATTACACTCAATATGACACTCAATATGCAGAATTCATTCTATTTCTTAGGAGAAAGTGGTTCCCCGACCTTGGGATTCCTACCAACATATGCATTTTTAGAAGAGCCTACCTAGATGTTCTTTTCATGAAGTAATATGTATTTTAAAAAATGTTTTCAGACAATGCCTGTAGTGTTTCCAGCCACACAGCATGCAATTGTGACGACAAATACCTTCTTAGTGTTTTTCAAGTGCTGATGTAAATTCAGAGCCAGACGGTCCCACCACCGCCCTCTGCTGTCAGTACAATACACATCCTGAGACAAAAGAGTCTGCAGCTCCTTCACCGCTTCCTGTAGCGACAGGGATGTATTTTTATTAACTGAGTTAGAAAACAAAGTTTAAGTTCCATTATATAAATTGCTTATAATTTCCCCTTCTAATTGCTGGTACTGTAAAAACTTTGCACAATTCAAACCCTATTTTTACTCCAGCACCATAAGTATTCAGTTGTCTGTGTATATCTTAGGAACTCTAAGATAAAAAGAGATACTTTTATGTAAGCTTAAAGCTTAGCTGTAAAAATAAAATATTTTTGTCCTTTTTGTCTTCCTTGTTGTATACGAAAAAGGCCTGAATTTTACTTGTTCTTTTTCTGCAGAGGCAGTCTTTCTCAGAATAATATGTCTTTCTTTAACATAAAAGTCAGAGGACTTTGGAGATGTTAGGTCCTCAGGTGAAGAGGCAGGAGATTGCACAAAAGACTTTTCTTCCAAGATTTTCGCTTTTAAAGGCATATCACACATGGCAAAGCATAAGCATATATCAACACAATCTAAAAACATGAGGTTTCCTTTAAAATCTTCTAAAACATATAGAAAGAAAAAAAATAGACACTTTATACTTAAAAGTAATCTGTTAAGAGAACTGTAGCAAGTCATGGCAAACATCACCATTTTCCAGCCACATCAGAAATACAATTATACATAAAGCTACATTAAAAATGTTTTCCTGTTCACCTTACCACCTCACCTTACCTTGTACATGTGAAGTCTCTGCAAAATTTCAACACCTTGAGAAAGTATTCTTGTATATACCCAGCCAACTGTGAAACGTCGCAGGTACTCGGGTAGAACTCTGTGATAGCTGAAAGGTAAGAACAGCTCAGGAGATTCATTTAATGATGGCAATTTAAATTCTTTAAAATTATCTTACTAAGAATGCTTAGAATCAAAGCATTTAAAACATGCAATGCCTTATATATGAATTGGGTTCTGCAAGTCAAAAATCCAAAGATAACCATTATAGCTGAAGCAGCAATCGTAAGCTGCATTTGTGCAACATTATTTGGTTTCAAGAAATTGGTTGAAAGAAGATATTCAAGATGTTGGTTTTCAAGAAAAGAATTAGGTTCTGCATCAGATGCAAAGCAGTAAATTACTACGTTGTGGTTCCTAACTGGTAACTTGTTCTCATAAGTCAAACTTCAGAAACTCAGCTGAACAAAAGGAAAAGACTGGAACAAGCATTTCCTGCCCTAAGAGAAGATTAATGCCTTTGGGGTATGCACCTCTATGTTTCGAAAAATTACTGAAATTTAAATAGGTTTTTCCACTGCTTTCAGTGTGAAATGGACTAGAACGCCACACAACCCTCCATTAATATTATTTTAAATCAGTTGCCATGACAATGAATATAATGTCAAACTTAACACTTTAACTTTCAGTGCATCATTAAACCAAAGAACAAAATAATTAACACAAAAAACAGTGAAGGACGCTTCAAAAACCGTACACATTACTTCAGTTCTCAGATCTTCAGTGGTGTTTCCCGAATGACACACAATTGGAATTTTCAACAGATGAATAACCCACTCTGTTTTCCCATAACCTTTGCAACATTCTTTTGTTCACAGTGAATTTTAAATTCTGCTGATTCCTATTTGTCTAAAAGCCATAAAAACAAACTATGATGAGGGAAAAATAAGGCTCTTGTTCTCCTGCATTGGCATGTAGAACAGAAGTGTCTTAGTGCTTTATCCATGCCTACCAATTCATTCCCAAGGCTTTAGAAAAAAGGCTTTTTCACAGATATCACTTAAAAGCTAAACAAACAACCAGGAAGTTCAAAGCTTTCAAGAACATGAAAGTTTCTAAATTTATCAGGCTTGAATAATATCACAAGTCTGTAAGCCTCTCTCAAAAGGAACAGTACCAAAAGTAAGATGATGCACTTAGTAGTCACTTATGAACATTGTGCTCGTTTCCAGTTTACTACCTCAAAGAGGGGTGCTTTTTCAGTTTATTCCACGTTTCTTTCGCACACATATAGAGATGATTAGCTTCTTCCAAGTTCCCATTTACCACTGCAGTGGCTATATCATTTGACAGATGAGCAGCAGTTGCATACCTATGGGAAAAACATGTAATCACTGCTTTAGGATCAAGAAGCATTTATAGTTAAAATAAATCAGTTCCTCCAAACAGTACTTTTTAAAAACTCCCTTCCAGTCTCCAAAGGACATAGAACCATGCAGCCAACTTTATTCTTAATCTTATAGGATCAGCAAAGTTTATACTAGCAGGATATACTACATTTAAAAGTATTTATAAACTAGAGAACATATTTTTGGTTTTGTTAGGTTCCATTCTAATAATCACAGCAATGTAAGAAGCAACTTGCATCAGCAGATGATCATCAAGCAAATGAATATGCTATTTTAGTTCAAAATAGAAGCCATTGTGAGCAACACATCTTACTTGGACACAAAACTGCATCTTAAATCACTGCAAAAGTGCACTTCTACCTATTCACATCTGTAGTTCTACATGATGAATATCTTTTTTGCCTATACAAGTACTGCAGTAAAGCTTTTCTAGAAGAAAACAGATTTCCAAACTGCCAAAGCTTCCTGTACCTGATAAGATCTTCTCTGTCCTGGAAGATTTGTGTTTTCCTATTTACAGTGTAACTGGGGAATACCATACGCCCCATGTTTACCATAAGGACTGTGGAGAGCTGACTTTGACCAGCACTACCAGCTTCTTCATCCTCTATTGACTCAGAAAGTGAAAATAGCAGCAGGATTCGAGAAAAGACAGCCCGAGGGCCTTTACAGACCCTGACAGATCTTCCAGCTAGATCCTTTGCCCTGTAAGGACAAATAAAATGATTATACAATTAGTTTTTCCCATCAGTTATAAAATTCAAATATCATGAATGAAGTATGAGATTTTTTTCATGTTCACACCATTTACTGCATAAACTTAATTTTCATAGTCATAGAACATCACAAGTTGGAAGGGACCCACACGGATCATCAAATCCAACTCCTGGCTCCACACAGGACCACCCAAATATCACACGATAGGTCTGACAGCTGTGTCCAAACACTTCTTGAATTTCGGCAGGCTTGCTGGGAAGCCTATTCCAGTGCCCAGCCACTCTCTCAGATTTTCCCTGAAAGAAGCAGCTTGAGAAACCATATAATGCACATAATCTATCGTGAAAAGCCAAAGAATCGCATTAATTCACAAAAAGTGTAAGGACTATCCACAAGTAGAATAGAATTGGAACTGACTGCCCTTTGGGTGCAACTACTTCTGTTGCTATGCCGGGCTGTACCAACATGAAACAAGATGTAGTTAGCTGGTAGGGCAATGTTTACAGATCACAGTTTGAAATCCTTGGTTTTGGGACTTCATCAAGCCCTTTCATACAAGACAAGATTTTTGCTGCTTCTCCACAGAGCAGCAAAGACTTAAACAAGAAATTCTCTGGTCTTAGGGGGCAACTAGTATTTCAGCTGTCAACTACAGAAAGGAGCAGTATGTTCCCAAAGTTTATATGGCTAAACAACTCTTTGTATTTTTATTTACTAAATGCATTCCTCTCTTCAAAAGACATGTTGAGTCTTTCAAAGCATAACTTACATTCACCTGGAAAACTTAACTAGAGTTAAACAGCTTAAGAGGTACCTTTTTAAAATCACTGTCCCAATACCAGCCTGACTCCTGCTGAAGACTGAACGTTGTTTTGCCAATCTCTGAAAATCATCCACAAGTTGCTGTTTCTGACCGTTTGGGTTTGGCAAGTGAAAGATCTTTGCTAATGTTTTTAGCTCAGGAGCTGAAAGTAAATCCAGCCCTTCACCCAGGTCTTCCAGTTCAGATTCTAAAAGTAAAATAATCCACATACATTCATTATGTGCTATATGTACACATTCAATCAACAGTTCAAAGATTAATACATTCATATAACCTAGTACTAATCTAATGATTCAGATTCTTTCAAGTATATTATTGATGCTAGCTGGTCCAGCTTGAAATTCATTATCTTCAAAGGTCCGGTCTGAAGGAATGGAATAATCAGAAGTAATCCCTTTGTAGCTTCAAAGAAAAAGCAAATACAAAGAAATTTTGCTGAGTTACAAGAACGGCTGCTCAAGAAAAACTTCCCTCTTCTTGATGACTGAAACTTCCCAAGTCAAAAAAAATGTACTGCCAGAGACCAGCTGCTCCACAGGGGGGAATGAGCCAGGAGTCAGAGGTGAGCACAGCACAGGCAGTGTCTTCACCACCCCTGGTGCAGTCCCACTGTAAGCAAAGAGAAAGGTGGATCAAAAGTCCTGACAGCGGAGCCTACAGGCAGCCCTAGAAAAGGCAAGGTGATGAATCAGGTCCAGGGTCCATTTAAGAGATGAGCCAGACCTAGAGACAAGCCTACAGCTTAGGTCTGAGACCCATCCACAGCACGTGGCCAGAGGCAAGACTGGAAACAACTGGCAACATCGGTTGGAGGGCCATCTCCCAAAGCATGCCAGGGACAGAGCTGAAGGCAGGTTCACCTGGCAAGACAGCTCACAGGTCACGGCCTGAGATGGGGCTGATGAGGGCAAGTAAGGCTGACTGCTGCATCAGTGGCACTGACATTTGTTCTGCTCTCCCTGTTACACACTTTGCTCCAACAGCTTCTACTATTGAAGTAACGTAACACGGGACTCATCAACCCGAAGCCTGGAGTTATTCTGCTCCTCTAATTCTCTTCTCAATGCACAGCCAAGCACACAGTACATTAAATGCTAACATGCCCCAGTACGTTTTATTTATAATACTTTTAATACATATTCATGCAGGCCATACCTGTCTGCAGAAATCTGGCTTCAACCAGTTCTTCAATTATTGGTGACAAATCCAGACTTATCTCTCCATACTCTATTTTGTTCACTTTTAACCAGTTCAGCTTGCGTTGAAAAAGTCTCACATATAACTTCTGCCCACCAACTGCAAATATTATTTAGAACAATGAAAGAAAGCAAAAACATTAAATTCTAAAACACAGTGCTATGCATACTCACTACCTTACCTACAAAAATTACTGTGATGCAGATATCCTGTAAAACACTTTTTAAATCTGCCTGTGCTTTATAGACAGACTTGGTAAAAAAAAAACAACAGAACCCACCTTTCAAAGTAATCATTGCTCATTAGAATCCTTAAGTTTTGTTTTCAGGTAGCAAACATCGCTAAAATTTACTTTGGACACACTTACCCTTTTTCTTAAAAATACTTAAAATACTTAATACTTAAAATACTTAATACTTAAAAATTACCCTATTTCTTAAAAATACTTTTTAGGAAATGACAACTTTATTTTATTTATAACTCTGCACAGTGTGACTTTAAATAGGTCTTTTTGCTTTCTTTAATACTCAAGCAATAAGCAACCATTTAATGCTTAGGAAGCAAAAGAAGCTGTAGTTTGATGGAGTGATTTCAGAATCACAGAACACTTCTCAGTGTAGTAGTCTTTGGATTTTTTTTATCAATGATATTCAAACAAAAAATATATTTATTGAAGACAAGAATAAAACTCCTGTTGATTTGATTTTTGTCAGGGAAGACATCATAGAATCATAGAATATCTCGAGTTAGAAAGGACCCATAAGGATCATCGAGTCCAACTCCTGGCACCGCACAGGTCTGCCCAAAAGTTTAGACCGTGTGCCTAAGTGCACAGTCCAATCGCTTCTTAAATTCAGACAGGCTTGGTGCAGTGACCACTTCCCTGGGGAGCCTGTTCCAGTGTGCGACCACCCTCTCGGTGAAGAACCTCCTCCTGATGTCCAGCCTAAACCTCCCCTGCCTCAGCTTGACACCGTTCCCATGGGTCCTGTCACTGGTGATAACAGAGAACAGGTCACCTGCATCTCCACTCCCCCTCACAAGGAAGTTGTAGACTGTGATGAGGTCCCCCCTCAGCCTCCTCTTCTCCAGGCTGAACAGGCCCAGTGCCCTCAGCCGCTCCTCATACGTCTTCCCCTCTAGGCCCTTCACCATCTTCATCGCCCTCCTGGGGACACTCTCCAACAGTTTCATGTCCTTTTTATACTGTGGTGCCCAGAGCTGCACACAGTGCTCGAGGTGAGGCCGCACCAGCGCAGAGTAGAGCGGGACAATCACCTCCCTCGACCAACTGGCGATGCCGTGCTTGATGCACCCCAGGATAAGGTTGGCCCTCCTGGCTTCCAGGGCACACTGCTGGCTCATATTCAACTTGCAGTCACCCACAACCCCCAGATCCCTCTCTGTGGGGCTGCCCTCCAGTGTCTCATCGCCCAGTCTGTACGTATAGCCGTATAGCCAGGGTTGCCCCGTCCCAGGTGCAGGACGCAGCACATCACTTAAAGTAACTTTAAAAAACACTTTAAAAATACTAACAATGCTGCAATTTGACCAAATAATAACTTATTAAATCTTAGCTGAAATTTGCCGAGCTATTCTTGCTACATTCAGCACCCTTCTGAGTAACTATCTCACCCCTCATTAACTTCTAATTTATTTATCTATTTGATGATTGGCAATGCTCTCCATCCACTTTTTGCTGCTCACCCACTTTTGAGAAAACTAGGCAGGCAGGAAGGACCACTTAAAATTTAATTATTTTAAAAATTTCATTCCTTTCTTAATATGTAACTCACGGAAGAACAGCAGACTTTTATCAGAAAATAAAAAAATACTGGAGAATACCTATGCTCAAGCTATTTAATTTATAGCATTAAGCACGTATGTGTACTTTTTCTTGTTGTAACTGAGAGGCAATACTTGCTTCAGTAGACACTACTAATCTGGAACAGATGTCTCATCTACCTGAACTTTTAAAGTATTCTGTCCAAGATTTCTTGAAGGTAAAGACATCCATCACTTGTCCAGAACTCATTATCTATTGACTTAATAGTATCCGACCATGTCTTGTAGCTGAATCATTGTTTTTCCTACCCTGCAAAGAGAGATTGTTTTATTTGTGACTGTAGCAGTCAGTGCAGACATGGATTTGTCAGCTCTACTCTGCAATAACTTTTTTTCTGTATTCTGAACTCCTGTGAGAGAGGAACCCTGAACTCACTGAAAGAGAAACAAGTGTACAATTACTGATCAAGAGAAGGGGGTGTAGAAATAAAGAAAGCTGTATCCTAAATTTTTCTTTTAGTATTGGTTGAAGTAGCTGAAGCCCACATCCACTAGCTACCTAACTGTAAGCTTATCGCCGTATCTCCTTTGAATGTAAAGGAGCCAATAAGAAGTTTTGTCGCTTTTATTCCATTCTTTACATACTCCTATTTTAACTACCCTAACATAAGCAACATATTAGCATTAGTTTTTGTGTTTAGTGTTAGTGCGTGTAATCGATACAATATAATCTGTGAGAACTTAATTGTGATCACTGCAGAAAATGCCGACATTTAGAACTTAGGTTTCCGAATAGTTTCAGACCTATTATTTTGAGATCTATGTGTATAGCACACGCCTCTTCGTAACCCCATTCTGCAGAATCTTCATATGTATTAACGATAAAAAGCTTGGTATTAACTGATGTTTTTTTTTTGTGGATTGATGTTTAAACGCAGAAGCAAGCTGACTTGAGATTCTAAAAAACATGCATTTATCTAGTTAAGCTACAGAAATAACCACAATCATATATTTTTAATTCTCTCCTTATTTCATGCAATCTCTATTATTTATTGCTACCTTCCCTTAAAGCAGCATTGCGAAAATTTACCTACAAGAAGCTACTGAACGGATACACCTCCTGAGAAAAAGGAGTTTCTTCCATGAAGCAGTTTAACAAGCTGACCTGCCCACTGGTATAGTACTCTTCACTTACAAAAACTATGTAAGTTCTCTCTACAAGAGACAGCATGGGAATGTAAAAATAGAAGGATACCTGATAATTGGCAGAACTTAGTAATAACGTTCATATCTTGATCATCAAATAGTCTCACATCATCTTCATTCTCCAAGACTGCTCGCAACACCACTAAAAAATTCTGGAGGTAATATGGTTGACCAGGAGCGTTCGGAACAGAGATAACCTCATTTATTTTGTCTACAATGTCACCAGTGGAATTTTGAAACTCCACCTTTTGCACAGTTTCTGAAAAATTATGATTAACGTCATCCTTAAAGTGTTCATGAACTTCCACAGGAAGTACCTGTACATCACCCTTTCCAGAGCAATTTTGTGCACTGCAGTTCACTTCCATTTTGGAAGACGGAGTAAGTTGAGCATGAAGCTGAGTCTTTACCTTCAAACTACTGATCGGCTCTGCTGAAGTATAAATGGCTAAATGTGTTTCACAGTTATCAGGATTAAGCATCACACCTTCAGATCTACTTTCTGTTTTGGTGTTCCTTGTACCAAATGGTAATCTCTTGCTGTTAACAGCTGGTGGCAATACCTGAACAACATCCACAAGGTCTTCCCTACCACATTTGTTTATTTCTTCTTGAAATTCAGATTCCTTTTTTGAAGGATTTTGTTCCTCATGATCTCCCTGAGCAAGCTCATTTTCTTTCTGAGAACTATGCCCAGAAAAAATCTCATCATCAGCATCATCCAGTGTTACAGCACTTTTGCACATACTGTGAACAGCTGGGGGTGAAGAGCCGATCTCTTTATATACTACCTGTTTTCCTCCCTGGACGCAACGTCTTCTGGACAGTTTAGATGACAAGCTTCCCAAAGAGACGACTTTAACTGGGTGATCCCTTGGTTCACTGTGAATGCTACAGTCTGAACTACTGTTGCTAAAATAAGGGCTAATCTGTTGTGCCGCACTCCCTTCTGTTTTCAACACACTGCTTTTGGAAGGACTCGGGCTTAGATTTGAGAGGTTTTTTGAGAAGTATGGGCTGGAATTATTGTCCACATTTGTACCGGGAGGACCCTCGCTCTTAGCAGAGCTCAGTGTTGAATCGACACCACGCAGCTCGCCCTGGCTGCCTGGACACATGGCATCTATGTGCTCATTTATTCCGTATCTTGGTACCATTTGCCCACACATGGGACAGGTAATTTTTGCAGGGGGCACATTGTTAAAAAATGAAATAATAGAGGAGGATTCTGAACGTAGAGGTGGCGTGCCTTTAACTTCCACTTTCTTTGCTGTTTCTTTTTTTGTCTTCTTCTTGCTCAGTGACAAGCTTACTCGGGCTCTCTTACTTTCTGAGGACCCAGCTTCTGACATGGTGGCACTTCAGGGCGCTGACACGGCGCCGGCAGCTTCGCTCAGCTCATGCTTCTTTACCCTGCAGTGCTTGAAAGGAAAAAGAGACTTCTCTCGGCTTTGCATCACCCATCCGCAACCCTCGGACATGCCTTTAAGAAAACAAACACGCAGCTGAACGCAAGGCTTTCTCAGACACCAAACACACCGAAGACGAAAGGCGAAGGGCCAGACCCGACGACAGCCCCGCCAGCTCCCGCTGCCCGCCCCCTCAGCTCCCCTCACAGGCGCCACGCGCTGCCCGCGCGTCACTCGCCGCCGCCCGCCCGGGCCCTTCTCCTCACGACCCCGCCGCCCCCAGCCCCGGTCCCCCCGGGCCCCTCACGTACCGGCGCCGCCGCGATCCCCCGGGACCGCCGATCGCCGGTCCCCCTGGCCGGGAGCGCTGAAGGGAGCCGAGGGAGGCGGGCGTCGGGGCCCGGGCCGCCCCGTGCAGGCCGCGCAGCGCAGCGCCGATGGCGGCGGCAGGCCTGGGGAGCAGAGCGCGGAGCGCACAGCGGCCCCCTCAGGCTCACAGGCGTTAAAGTTACACCTCCAGCTGGAAATTTGGGCCTTCCACAGCCTCTTCAGTCACCGAAGGGAAAGAAATCCTGAAATACTTCTACACGGGGAATAAAGTTAAACAGCGCCTGCTTACTGAGTTACTGCTGGCTGCTCTGCCTCACGGCCCTCAGCTTCTCCCTGCGCTGAGGAACCTCCTCCTAGAAGAGCAGGGCAATGTTAAAAAGGCAATAAAATACGTTAAAGAAAGGAGATGTCTATCAAAGATGTATGCCAACGCTAATTGAGGAAATATTAATCACTTCTTTGCTCTGTTTTTAAGTGGATGTCATCAAGGCTGACAACAAAAGTTATAGTCAAGCTGTTCATGAAATCTCTTACACCCCAAAATAAGAGGGGTATGTTTTTAATCTTAAAACGTGTGCATTAACTTTAGAAGATAAACTGTATCCTTACACTACAGTTTGCAAATTTAAGTTTTAATAAATGCATACTCCTGTGCTATATAAACAACTACATAAAGACACTAGGGCTATAGTTTGAAGAACATACAGCCACATCACACATTGCTTTATCTACATGCCCTATGTAAGAAAAAAAAAATATATGTATCTTTTTAGAATGAGACGATCAAGGAGTTCAACAGTAGGAAGAAAAAAAAATAGGGAATAACACAATAGAGGTTCACAGAACATTTTAATTTTGTATAAAACCCAGCATTTATTCCAATGCAGCATTAAAGTAGAAACATTTTAATAAATACAAGACAGAGCATGTATTAAACTTAAATTACAATTTAAGTTTATGGACAGAGACTTCTTTCTGCTTCTTTTGTTTCTTCTTTAATTTGGTTGCATCTTTGACTTGCATTTTCACTTGGTCTTGTAACTGAGAAAAGAAGGCTTGGGATGATTTCAAGGCCTTGTCTTTTCCTTCATCCTGTCAATGGAACCAATATTTGTTATAACACCAAGAAACATACAGACAATACCACTATATTATTTATCATTTCTTTTAAAAGTCAAATATCATATGTAAGTACTAATTAATTTGCAGAGAGTCATCTCTTTTCAGCAGATTCTTACGCCATTCCGGCTAAAGATTAAGCTTCCTTTCTAGTCCTGATTTGGCATAGTAGGGAACTAAGGCATGTGAGCTACAACTGCATAATAAACTACAATTACTGAACTTACGTTTTGTATTTTGTTGGTCTTTTGAAAAGGTAAACAGAAGTGGTTTAAAAGTAATGAAGTTATTTCCCAATACACCAGAATTTCAGACATTTAAAAAAAATTAATTTATAAGGCATCGCAGGTGGAATATAAATTTACTTTTTTATAGCATGCAAAGCACAAAATCAATCTGCTAGGATTATAAAGAAAGCTCCACAAAACGTAAAAAAGCCAACAGAAACATCATAGTTTGAAGTTCGGTTACTCAAAGTTTACAGAGACCTAAGTAGAAACCTCATTTTGAGTTATACATGCAAGTAGTCAGTCCCATTTAGTCAAGTGGGACAGTTCAAACACAAGAAATAAGAGACTGAGTTCTAGTATTTGCAGGAACACCACCTTCTGAACTTTGAAATAAAAAGTAGTACCTAACACAAACAATTATTTGTTCTGTGAGAGTACTATGATATAAAGTAATTTTATCATACAGTTCATGTTTTTCCTTATCTAAAGATTATCTACACATCCAAGATTAATCTTCTCATTTAGTATATCTCACCCTGAATAAGCTTCTGCAGGTTCCAACAACCAATAAGGCATGATTTATTCATAATTCAAGTAATAACATCTACATGAATATGCATTATAAAAAGGAGGTCAATACAGAGCACAACTCAGAGTTGTGTTTTTTCAGGCTGCTCTCCTGACATCACATTCGTAGGGTAATCAGCAAAATCAGGAGTAAAAAAAGACATTCAACACTACTTTGCATTCAGTTCCATGCACGTATTAGACTGGTACTTCCAAAACTGCAGCTCAAAAGAATACAAGGAAAAAAAGGGGGAGGAAAAAAAAATACATCCTTTCCATGTCTACTTCCTACCTCTTCCTTTCCAGCAGTTGTACTTTTTATATTTACTCAAACATAAATAAGGTATCAAGGTTTGTGTAGGCAAGCAGATACACCACTTGGTACAAGAATTTCTGAGGGGATGGTAGGAGGTGTAGTGATGCCTAGAGGGATAGGAGAGAAGCAAATCCTTTCTTCTAACTGTGTTAAACGTTATCTACCCCTGGGATTTTAGAGCTCATCAGCTAAAGAAAATTAAGTTAAACAGGACTACTCGAGACAGCATTACCTTGAGCAGAGTTGCTTTGCCTTCTTTTGTAAGCTTTTTCAATTTCGCTGCAGCAGCTTTTTTGCTGAGTTTTATGCCTTGCTCCGATTTCTTCTTTTCAAGAAGCTTTTGACGTTTCTCCTTTTCCCTTAGCTTTATACGTTTACGAAGCTTTTTCTTCCTTCGCTCTCGTTTTTTGTCTGTGGAAGTCTTTTCTGCGTCTGTTTTTACATCACCAGCTTTGTTCTTTTCCTAAAGAGAAAAAAATATATATAAGCATGCAAAAGAAAACTCACTTTAGTGAGTTTTAGTGAGTATTTAAGCCTGTCTTAGTGTTTCCATTATTTCAGGTGTCTGACACATTAAGGCATAGACTGAAAACAGCCAGAAGCTGGTAGTAGTGTTTGTACAATTGACAGTCTATTGCTGTTTAACTTCCCCTTCTACCCAGCTATATAATGGTAAAAACAATTACCATCACAAATCAAGAATAAAAACCATCCGTAAGTTAGTATCATGACCTAGCATGGTCTGATAAATAACTGGAAGGAGTGGAAAGAGTTTGTTTTTAAAATGCTAGGCATGGAGGTTCATGAGGTAAGTAACCTTGAGTGGATGGGGTAGCAGAATCCTCCCACTGATCTGGCATCCACTACACCCTTCTGTTGTGAATACAGATCCTTGATTTTTCTGTTTGTTTGTTTGTGTGTTATTTGGTTGGGTTTTGGTTTTTGTTTGGTTTTACCTTGATCTCCTCTGGTGCTAAGAGAGCAGCGTCACTAACAGCAACAGGTGCTACTTCTTCCATAGTGATAGCTGGCAGGTTTGAGACTATTTTCACTTCTGGCACAGGCTAGAAATAAAAAAATATTCAGGACTAAGTACACCATCTCAAAGGAATGGAGTTTACATGTAACTGAACACACTAAATATTTGGTTATATTTAGAGGCAGTTATAGTGCGTTTAATACAAAAAAAGTACAAGTTCAATGTTTACTCAAAATATACTTGGGAAATGAAAATTCTCCAGTTTCAAAGAAAATAAAGGAAAAGAGTAACTTCGAAACTGAACTACTTACTGGTTTGGGTGTGAAGTGGAAATTACAAAGTGCATCCAGTTGCAGGAAGAGAGAATCCATCATTTCCTGAATTTCTTTGTGTTCAGGATTTTCTTCCTCTTCAGTTTTTTGCTAGATTAATAATGTAATGTTAATGCAACACCACTCATAAAGCAATTTCACTTTGGCAAGACTGGTAACACAGTATGCAATTCAGAGCCATTCCACATGCCACATGAACGCTCAGAGGAAGTGTGAAGTAATTCCATAAAGCTTAAAACACCTAGTAGCATACAAGTGAATATATATGCTTATGTGATGCAAACTTCAAAGCAATAGGAAAGGCATTGTTTGCGTTACCTGGTGAAGTTTCAAGTATTCTTGCTCATAGATCTCAGCAAGACTCAGTTTACTTTTTTCATGGTCCAAAGTGATACGCTTCTTGTATTCAAAGGCATCCTCTTTTGGTTTTTCTTTTGGTTCTACATCGTCCCATGCCTGAGAAAGTCATAAATTAACAACCAAATACAACTACAGACGACTAAACGTGTTAGTTGCTACAGCTTATTTAGAACATTACTTATCTGACATTTTAACTAACTCACATGTGTGGCTTCCCCAGGAACTCAGGAAGTTCACACTTTAATTTGAAGAATAGAAGACACATACTCAAGCTTGTGTACACATTTTCAGTGAATCAGGGCAAAAATAGTGTAATTAATTGCAAATGTGTAATTTCCTTAGATACTCTTCCATTATGTAATTTTACTTATTTATTTAGCAAATAGTAAGCCTCAACAAATTGTGAGATACAAGTCTTTTATCAGTGACTTTTAAGAAAAATTTTACACATTTGAGCTTTGGTTACTATTTAGGATGCATAAAGAACTACACAACTAGGATCACAGAAAAAAAGTGAGACTGGCATTATATTCCAGAGGAACTCCTTAGAGTTCCTCCTCTTTATCTGTAAATAATCTTTAGTTTGAAGAAAATCAAAACCTAGCTTATAACACATACTTTAAAAAAAAAAAAAAAAAGATTAGACTCTGAAGCCCCATTCATTAAGGCAAAATGAAACATTCAGTTGGAGAAATTAATCAAGAAAACTCTATACTTAACATGTTAAGAGTTTAAACTTTCTTAGAATTTGCCCTGTGAATAAAGTCAAGGAACAAAATGTAAAAATGGAGAAGAGCAAGCAAGATATTAACCTCATCCAATATTCTCTGTTTAATGATATCTTCAAGCTGAAAAGTAGTTTCCTCTGTGATCACAGGAGCTGAAAAGAAGAAGAAAAGATTAATGTTTCTCCAGCAAGAAACACTTTTTGCTCTGAGGAATCAAAAAGAAAGAAAAAAAAAAAAGAAAACGAAGTAAAGCCTCAACAAATATGTAGTAGTTGAAAGTTTTTCTTGACCTAGAGATTGATGAAGTCAAGCAAATAATGTTTTCTTCCACTACCTTGGAGAGAAATGAAGATGGGAAAGAGAATGATGTTATGTATGCCTTGTAAGTGACTAAAACTGCCACTGAATTAATGAATTTTCAGGTAAATTCAACCAAGTGAACCAAGATGACTTCCTGTAATTTCCACAACGAAAATGCACTGCCTCAAAGACGTGCTGAAAAGTTTAACTAGTGTTTTTGTTACCCTGCTCTCAAGTCATGGGTGTTGTCATCACGCTCACAGGCAAGGCAATCCAACTTGGTATGGCAATATACTCTCAAGAAAGCCCTCCCTCAATACTTACCCATTCGGACTGCATGATCAAAGAGTATTGTTTCCTCCAAAAGGCTATTTTCCGGTCGCTTTTGTCCAGTCACTTCTCCTTTAAGCTGCCAAGGTTTCTCTTCTAACAACTCTTCTTCTAAACTTTTTATTTTTTCACTCAACTAAAAAAAAAAAGGAAAAACAATTTCCTAAGAAGTTTAAAACAGTTCACAAGTAAACTCAAGGCAAGAAATCCATAGCCATTTCAGGTACTTCCAAATCCTCCTCATATAATGTGAGGATACGTAATTGCATACACACATCTGATAAACTACTTTATTTTTATTAAGAAGTCCCTTCATGTATGCCATGTACACGATTATTATAAAACACTGGTCACTGTTTAAAAGTATTAGCAAAACGATAAGACAATTACCTTTTCCTGTCTCTTTTCAAAAGATGACTTTATTTCACTGGGATCGATGCCCTTCTCTAATTGCATGTCAGTACTGTCTTCAGTTTCACTGTCATCTGGCAATCTAAAAGTAACTTTTGAAGAGGCCTTTTTACCTCTCACATTCTCAATCATCTCATTAATATCCTCCACCCTGTAAAATTAAAATACAATTTAAAATGAAGTAAAGGTTAAAAAGCCACTAACATTTGTGCTTGAAGATATTTCAGCCATTACAACTTTACCTGTTACAACTAACCGATAGTTAAGAACTGCAATAGACTTTCATTGAAGTCTAAAGACAAAGACACTGTGGAAACTTCTATACATCAAAAAATAACCTTAAAAAGCTGAAGTTATAGCTATTATATCATTTACTGAAATAAATCCCAAGAAACAACACTACGAAAGCAAGTAAAACTACTGTTTGACTAAGATAACAATGCAATCCATGAACATACAACAGATAACAGAAAATGATAAACCATGACTAAAGTGAACCTGGAATTCACAATTTATTTTCTTCTTGAACAGTGCCACTCTTCAGTGTAAAATTATAAAGACACTTAACTGCAAATAATGCAAATACTTACTCAGACATGCTTTCTTCATTCTCCTTTTCAATAGCACTGTCTGCTTCCTCTTCCTGATCATCTTCAACACCATTAGCTACTAAGTCATCATTGTCATCAACAGGATCAAAGAAGTCTTTGTACGTCAGGTCTCTAGAACTTTTAACTGACTAAGGTGACAGGGAAAACAAAAACCAAAAAAGCAGTTAGGATGACAGAAGTCTAAGAGCAGCCTGCCTCTGAAAGGCTAACATCTGGGGAATAGCATGACTTGTGTAATAGCAGTTCAGTTTACTGAAGCATTAACCTAGGGCAGAGCATCTCTGTAAAATTAGCCTCTTTTACAAGTACTCAAGAGCATTCTGCCACTTAAATTCATTTCTAACTTCAACATGTGCTGAAGTCAGAGAGCAATGATTTTTTCTGATTATTCACTGGTATGCGTACATCCTTCCTTATGCCCTGGGCAGAGTTCTTGCAAGCAAGAATCTCTGGCAACTTTAAGTAAGAAAAGATTAGTTTTTGAAACAAGTACTCGGCAACTTGCAAAATTTGAGTTACAAAGCCCTTTCCCTGTAAAAAGAAGTAGCCAAGCCACCTTTGCTCTGCATCAGTCACCTTAGTGATCCCCAATCACAAGACATCAATGTTGAGCAACGCAGCTTTCTTGCTAAGCTGGATCACCTATTTTGCAAGGTCTCGTATTTCTGACGACATGACCACCAAATCCTTAATCCATGCAGAAACCTAAAATCCATCTAAACAGAGACTAGAATGGGAAGACAGTATGTACTTATGCATTGGTGCATTTTGCTACCAAATACTTAACATCAAATATTAACAGCAATCGTTAGTTTTCCAATCATTTTAACTTGGCAGTTTCTCCTGTGAGCTCAACAATTTAGAGTAAACCTAACAGGTATCAGATCTTGATTTAAATAAAAGAGTTCAGATAGTTTACTATCTTCTTACTTTGACTTTAGTTTCTTCAGACTCCTCTTCCTCATCATCTGAGATGATGTCCTCAAAGTAGTTGATATCGTCTTCCTCCTCCTCCCTCTCCCTATTTTCCTTCTCTGCGTGCTCTAAAAAAGCTTCCATCTCAGCCAGCTTGAAAAACTTGTCATCCACTACAGATTTTCTTCCTTTTTTTTTCAATGTTGTTTCCTTTGCTATTTGAGTTTGTTCTTCTAGTGCATCAATATCAAAGTCTACATCAGAATCCTCATCACTGTATTTCTGCGTTATGGCTTCTTTGGGTTTACTTTGCTTTTCTTTAGCTTTAGTTTCTTGTTTTGTAGAGACACTCTCCTGTTCAGTTTCTGCTTCCATTACGTCTTCCAATTCATTATCACTGCTAGCCTCTGCATCAGAACCATCATCTTCCTGGTCTGAGACAAGGCAAAGATCTTTATCACTGGCATCCCTTGCAATGGATTTCTTGAAAAAGTCAAGAATTGCATTATTCTGGAGCTCTAGTTGTTGCCAAATCTGTTCTTCATCGAAGTTTTCTATCACCAGCTCTTTTAGAGGACTCCCACGAACTATACTGCTTCCCAGAGCTTTATTTAAGTCGTATAGAGTCTTTGTTAACGCTCTGAACTCAGCAGCCAGCCCATCTTGTACACTAGAAGGAAGAGAAAAAAGTTAAAGCTTTAAAAAGCACAACAGCTACTTTTTTTTTTTTTTTTTTTTTTTTTTTTTTCTCGAAGTTAGCTGGCTTTCCTTCATTCCCAGCCCCAGTAAGGTACCCGCATGGTCCCCCTGCAGCTCCCTGCCGGCCCTTTCCAACACTCACAGCTTTTGCGCAACTCCCCACGTGGCTGAGCGCCGCTACCGAGCGCTCCCAGCAGCAGACGCCTCACCATTTTTAAGCCTTTCAGCTTCCCCTCGCTCGCACCCCCGGGACACCCACGCGATTATCACGACTATCGCAAGCCTTCACCCGGGCGTTCCCTCCCTCCCGGCCCGTCCCGGCCCGTCCCGGCCCCGCAGCGCAGCCGGCACACACGCAGACCCCTCGCTCCCGGCTGCCGGCAGCCCCGCCGCCCACACGGCGCTTCAGGTGGGCTCCGCGCGCCGCCAGGAGCCCCCCGCGCCCTCGCCCCCTCCCGCAGCGCCGCGGCCGCCGGCGGTACCTCAGGAAGTGGTCGGGCCGCGCGGCAGCGGCGCCCGCCACCCTGAGCGCGGCCTCCAGCCCGCTGCGCGCCGCCATCTTGCCCCGCCCCGCGCCGTCAGGGCGCCCCCCGCGGCCGGGAGGCGGCGAGCGGCAAAATGGCGGGCGGCTGGCGGCGGGCGGCGGCCGGTAACGCGCGGCCGGGCGGGGGGGTGCGGGGCTGTGAGGCGCTCGGGGGGGACGGGGTGAAGGCAAGACAGCGATCATGTACGAGAACAAGGTCCGATGAATCTTCTCTGAAGGACAAAATACCTAGAAACATTCTGACTTGGTTGTTAGCGTGCGAAAAATCAGGTCTTTGCAAAAACAAGGCGAAACAACAACAAAAACAGCAGGGGCAAATGATGAATGTATGCCAGGCATAGAAAAACTGCATGGTGCCGCTGGGCAGCATGCAAAAGTTTTTCAAACAGGACAGATACTTGGACAGATAACTTCAGTCACAGTGTCCATTGGCTTCAGAAGACATATAATAAAATAGACTTCAGAGAATGTCTATTTTTTAGCATTGGAGAAAGTTCAGAATTAATTGCATAATTCTGTAAGTTACTGGATGAATGTTTTGTGATTAAAGAGTTTAGCCACAACATTTACCTGAACAAAGGACTGGTTTTGTGATATATGCATAACTTGCACTGTTTCTTTCCTGAAACATGAATTTCAGTCTGAAGCTGCTAAAAAGCTTTCTTTTTCATTTCAGGGTCAGCTTTTGATCATTGAGTGTGCTACTTTGTAGCACAAAAATGAGACCAGAGACACGAAAATGAGTAAAGATTAGAATTATATTAATAGAAGTAGAATTACAGTAACTATATAGTTACTAATCTGTATAATGCCAGAAAAAAAAAACACACAAGTGTCTTTTGTTTATTCTCAGCCAATTCATAATGATATTTGTGTGTTTAAAATTAAAGCTCTATATGCATATGACTACAGCTAGAATAAATTCACAAGTCTTCTTAGATAAAAGATTATTAAAAAAAAAAACAAACAACAAACTCTAGAGTTCTCTGTCCCTACATCATCACCAGAAAAATACAGTCCTACCACCTTATGGGGAAGATATGGAGAGACACATAAAAAATACTGCTATATGAGTATCTTTGACTTTACAAGAATTTTAGGATTATTCTTTACTTCTTCACTCTTACCTTTCCTGGAAACACTGCAAAAAAATCAAATGTTTCTTGAGCTGAACCCAACAAAATTAACTTCTTCTATTTCTTTTGCCATTGCTTCAGTAATAGCTGAGTGGCAGTCTATCTTATTTGTGTCAAATGTCAATTTACTTGAAAATAGACGTAATACAGAATAAATTATAATAGCCATGTAATCTTTTGCCCGCTGTGAGGTACAGAAAGAATTACAGATGATTACAGGAGATATAAAGATGATTGAGAAAAATTTTGCCCATTCCCATCTGTAAAGATTACTTGAAAATCTACATTACTAGCATTTCCACTCAGTCACGGGATGTTAATATTTGGAAGCAGGGACGAAAGAACAAAAGTGCTATAGAAAACATCAAAAATGTAAGTGTATTAAGCAGTCCTTTCACAGTGTTTTTCTCTTTTGGTAAATACTGACTTTCTCTAAGTGAAAGAGTTTCTCTTGCTTCACCAATAATTGGATCAGGCCTTAAGTATTAATGCCAGCAAACAGCTACTGATCCCGGGTAGATGGAAAAAACATTTGACTTTTTTTTTGTTTTTTAATGCATTATTTACTTCGGTGATCCGGTCAAGTTATTTATCCATGCTGCTAATTATGCCAACTAGATACTGCATGTTTCTTGTTTTGTACATTACAGAGCACTGCAAAGTATTGCTTCCTCAGGCAACTGCTTTGTTCACCCCTGACACAGTTCCATTCAGACAGCAACTGTAGCTACTGAATAGATTCAGCAGAGACATTGGAAAAACAAGAATTTTTCTGCTGTGAAGTTGCTAGTGGATTTTTTTTTTAATATGTAAAAAGCTTTGAAATATTCAGTTGCAATACTGTCACTATTATAGCCTAATGGTAACAAAAGTAAAAAAGAATTTTCCAGAACTTCTGGCTGCGATGAAAGTGATGACAGGATGCACTGTGTGAAAGGCTGGCAAGAGATACACCAGAGCAGTTCCTTGGAGAAGTGAGCAGGTTTATGAAAGCTCTTAATGTAGGCTGTTGATTTAATATTTTCAAAAGATTTTGAGTACACTTACTCTCATGGTAGTATTCGAAATTATGTGAATTTCATGTTGTAATTCATAGAATCATAGAATCATAGAGTATCCTGAGTTGGAAGGGACCCTTAAGGATCATCAAGTCCAACTCTTGACACCGCACAGGTCTACCCAAAAGTTCAGACCATGTGACTAAGTGCACAGTCCAATCTCTTCTTAAATTCAGTCAGGCTCGGTGCAGTGACCACTTCCCTGGGGAGCCTGTTCCAGTGTGCAACCACTCTCTCTGTGAAGAACCCCCTCCTTCTGTCAAGCCTAAACTTCCCCTGCCTCAGCTTAACCCCGTTCCGGCGGGTCCTGTCGCTGGTGTTAATGGAGAAAAGGTCTCCTGCCTCTCGACACCCCCTTACGAGGAAGTTGTAGACTGCGATGAGGTCTCCCCTCAGCCTCCTCTTCTCCAGGCTGAACAGGCCCAGTGCCCTCAGCCGTTCCTCGTACGTCTTCCCCTCCAGGCCTTTCACCATCTTCGTAGCCCTCCTCTGGACACTCTCCAACAGTTTCATGTCCTTTTTATACTGTGGTGCCCAGAACTGCACACAGTACTCAAGGTGAGGCCGCACCAGCGCAGAGTAGAGCGGGACAATCACCTCCCTCGACCTACTAGCGATGCCGTGCTTGATGCACCCCAGGACACGGTTGGCCCTCCTGGCTGCCAGGGCACACTGCTGGCTCATATTCAACTTGCTGTCTACCACGACCCCCAGATCCCTCTCTTCTAGGCTGCTCTCCAGCGTCTCATCAGCCCAGTCTGTACGTGCAGCCAGGGTTTCCCCGTCCCAGGTGCAGGACCCGGCACTTGCTCCTATTGAACTTCATGTGGTTGGCGATCGCTCAGCTCTCCAACCTATCCAGATCCCTCTGCAAGGCCTTTCCACCCTCATTCGAGTCCACAACTCCTCCAAGTTTGGTGTCATCAGCAAACTTGCTCAAAATACCTTCTATTCCTACATCCAGATCGTTTATAAAAATATTGAAAAGTACCGGCCCTAAAATGGAGCCTTGAGGGACCCCACTAGTGACCACCCGCCAGCCTGACGCAGCGCCATTCACCATAACCCTTTGGGCCCTGCCCGTTAGCCAATTGCTCACCCATCGTATGATGTTTTTATTTAGCTGTATGGTGGACATTTTGTCCAGTAGGATCCTATGGGAAACCATGTCAAAAGCCTTGCTGAAGTCCAAAAAAATCACATCAGCTTACACATAAACACATGCACGTATATCTATCAGTACTGTATCATTCTTTGTGAAGAAAAATAAACTGACAGCTGTAGCCTTCCAGTTAAATGGTAGTTGTGTTTCCCACAGTCAAACCAGATGATTAATTACAGCTACTGCTAACCTTACAGGTATTACTAACTTTCCAGAGTACAGAGAGCCTGAAAAATGTAAGCCAAGTTATCCTAAGTGTCTTGGAAAGCATCCAAAATTTCAGTGCCTCCCTGGCACAATCGCTTAGTAAAATGGCACATTTGTGAATTTAAAGCTAAGAATGCATCAAAGACTTCCAGAATGCTGAGATGCCTCCAGCTTGGCCTTGAGACATTGGGAACTCCGACATGGCCTAAAGCAAATCAGCATGAAATTCAAATGCTGCCTTTATCAATATACCCTTTCATTTAATTCTAATTGTGGTGTGAGACACAATTGATAAGACTGCAGTCCCGTCCCCCCCCATCTTTCCAAAGTGTACTACTTTGATAGATTCATTTTTATTTGTAATTATCCTAATTTTACTTTTTTTTCCCTGACTTTTTAAAAATCAAGCAACTTTAGAACTAACTGTGGGCAGCACAGAAATATGACAGTGCAAAGGTCAGAACTGTCTTGTCAGAGCAGTCTGTGAAGAGTTCAATAGACATCTAAGTTTTTTATGGCCCCAAGTTTCTCCAAGACTGTTGCATCTTTTGTCATCATCTAGATGTTAGCCCTTGCCTTTGTGCCATATTGTCATCCAGTATTTTTTTTTCATTATCGTTTCATTTATGATGAGACAAAACATAATCTTTCTCTTTTGTAAGTCATGCTGAAGTCAGTGGCACTAGTTGAATTAAAAAAGGAAATACGATTTTTACCTTTTAAGGATAAGCTAAAGTGTTACTGGTCAGTAGAATGTGGTATTATTCACAGTACTTAGAACTGAAATATTTCTAAGCATCTTGAAACTAAGTATAAGACCTGTACAGCACATGAAAAATGAGTGGCTAAAGACTTAATTCTTCAGAGAAAAAATCAGAAATCAGTAGAGTTAGTATCCCTTAAGCCTCAAACACAAGATGACATTTCTTTTCTTGCTATAGTTCTGACAGCTAAGAGCTCAAGTCTTTTATCTTTCTCTTGGATTGTGCAATATCAGTTACTTCTGTCATTGGTTTTGTTTGTTTGTTGTTTGTTTGTTATAATTTCTATATGTATGGACATACAGAAATATATGTTTCTTTCTCTATTTTATAAGAAGCTTTGAAAAATTCAGAAGCAACGTTTAAGTACATTATGCAGTTGACTGTTATGTTTGGCCATGTATTCCAATTTTTAACAGACAGATATAAGCATTTACAACACTTTTTTTTTTACCTTCAGCTTTCCACACTAGTGTGCTTATGACACAGGAGTTACATAGGCCTCATTAAAAGGGGAAAGAGCAGATACTGTTAATTTCTCAGAAGCATTATATCGGTGCTATTCTTTTTTTTTTTTCAGGGCTTCTTACCAGATTGCAGACTTCAGCTCTTATGATACGAACTTTAGCATCATCGCATTCAGTTTCTCAGAACATTCCAAGCTCTTTGTGGAAACTGGGCCGACTTAATCATGTAGCAATTGCAGTGCCTGATTTGGAGAAAGCTCAGTCCTTGTATAAAGATGTGTTAGGAGCACAGGTGAGCGAGACGGTTGCTCTGCCTGAACATGGTGTCTACACTGTTTTTGTGGAGTTGGGAAATACAAAGCTGGAACTTCTACACCCTTTAGGAGAGAAAAGTCCCATTACAAGTTTTCTGCAAAAGAACAAGACTGGAGGAATGCATCATATCTGCATTGAGGTATTTTAACATAATGTATTGTATAGCAAGACAATGGATAGTAAATTAATATTTTTTTCATAGGATTGACCTGTGTAAAAAACATATTTATAAGACTGTCATATCTGTCAAAGTTTCACTTGTATAAGAGGATTATACCCATGTTTTAGTGTAGATGTTAGATGCAAAATTCCATATTGCTGCCTATGATAAATGTTTTCAATGTTTTCCATATTTGAGTCTTGCAGACTTTATTATTTCGTACAAAGAGTTATAAATAAAAAGTAATGGGATTACTGATGTGAGTGAAATTGTTTTCAGATTTCATCTATCAAGACCAGTGTTTGCATTTGCGTGCTTTCATTGAAAATTGAGAAATTTTGCATAGGCACAGGCATTGCAATTTTTCCTACATTAAGTTTGAGTATGTGCAGGTGTTCAAGAATAGAAAATTAATTCTGTTTAAATTGACCCCAAATAGAATTGCTAGGCTGCTGTTACAGAAATGTGAAACTGAACATCGGAAATGGGGAGTGTAGAATAAAGAAGTGATTTACAGGAAAACAAAAAAAAGTCCTCAAGCCTTCTGTGAGACCAGTGGCACTTAGACATACGAGATGAGGAAGATGTAGGTACTTCTCAGCAAAAAGAGTTCAAAGCTCTCAAGAGTTTCAAGAATATGTAACCCCTTTAAAGAATTTTCAAGAAATATCTGTTACCAGCTGAAGCTGTTCTATGTAGATCTGTTTTGTATGAAATACAATCTTTCTTGTTGCAGACAAACCACAGATGACTGTCAAGTGAAGCCATACTGTTAATTATGAAAACAGAAGAATGGGACATGCTAATGATCCCATTTTGGACAACTGTATACAATAAGTCAAGTATACAATAAGGCCAAGTAAGCCAGGATTCATAATCTAGCAGATAATTTTGATTAAACGCGTGAGCTAGTGCTACCTGCAGCCAGATTTTCCTAAGTGAAGTCCTGAGACTACTAGATTCTCTAAGCAAAATAAATGTAAGTTCAGAAAAAGATTGTCCTAAATCAACTATGTTAGTGGTCTCCGTGTAAATTCAAATGGAAAGTTACCAAACAATTCACATGGAAAGAAAACCTTCTGTTGTTGAGCTGCTGTTTATGCAGTACTGAAAGCGGATTTGGTTGCTACCATAGTCAATCAAAAAGAAGTTAATGCCTCCTCCCCCAGTTTCCCGTTCCTCTCAGAATGGAAAATCCTACCATTTCTAGGTATGTCCGCCTCTGAAGTTGAGCAAAAATACTTTTCAGAAAAACTGTAAAAAAAAAAAAAAAAATCAGTCTCAATTGCTTGTTCATTTGAAATTTTAAAATATTTTGTAGAAATACCTTTCCTTGAACAATTGTATTGCAAAAAGATTAATTTTAAAAATACTTTTCCATACTGTAGAAGAAGTCTGATGAGTTTATTAAAATACCTTTCTGTTCTTCCTTCTGTCTTATTATTTAAAGGAAAAATTTAGAAAGGTGTGTTGATAGGGAATTTGCTTTGGACAAAATAAGCATTTTTAGAAGAAATTAAATAATGCCAGACAAGCCATATCTGTGCCATATCAAGCCATATCAGTCAGTATCTGTGACAAAAAGCATGGTGGAGAACTGATAGGGTAAGAGAGAAATCCAGGCCTGATAGTCTCTTAATATACATGTAGATAAAACCACAGACTTTCCACAGTTTGCTCTCACTTCTTCCCTGGGGATACAGTTCATTCCATCTGAGCCCAGACACAGTTCTTCTTCTGGCCATCTCTGCAGGACAGGAGCAGCAGCTGTGGTAGCTTTTCTGCTTGGGGAAGCAACCTGGAGGGAGGCATGGCACACTTCTGACACTTTGCTGTCTTCTTTTAGATAATGCTTGACAGTCATTTGGTTTTACTTTTTTTGCTGGCTGGTAGTCATGTGCAGGAAGAACTGTAGTGACTTCTGAATTCTCATGAACAAAACTACAGCAAATGAGTAGGAATTAACCGAAGTCTGTTCCTCCAAGTTAAGGCTAGGTATCTTCTGTAAAATTCATTATATATGTTTATTCACTGAGTTATGTCCAGACACCTCAGTCTGGAAAAACAGCAATGCTATTATTTTAATTCTAGGTCTTTTTAGGTTACTGACTATTGGCTTTGCTAAACTGAGGGCTAATTTCATTATTTCAAAGGATGGATGCATTTAAGGTTTGTATCCAAACCATCTGATGACATGACATGAGACTTAAGATCACACAATACAGCAAAGACATTTTTTGTTAATTATGTTTTACTGCAGGAAACTCTACTGAAATTTAATGTTAAATGCTATTATTATAATTAAGTTCAATAAGAAAACTAGATCATAGTCTGGGGACGTTTCTGGTAATTCCAAGGTTTTTGTCAGGAAACATGATAAAGTTTAACGTACTCAGAAGTAGTATATATAAATCTGGTAGGCTATTTCTTTTTACCTTCTGCCCATTGCCCTGCCTCTTCAGCAGCATCTAATGAGTCAGTGTTCTGTCATCAATTAGACAGGGAGGAATTCTTCTTTAGTTAATGATATTTTGAAAGTAATACAATCTTATTAATAGCAATACAGATTTTAGATTATCTATAGAGTCCTTATAAAGTAACAACATAAATCAATGGGCTTTGTGCATGATGAAATTTAATCTAATAACTTCTTAAATATATACTAGAATTTACTGAAATGGTACTTTATAAAATCTTCAAGTAACAAACGCAAACTTCTGTAGGATTTTTATTGTTAAGACTAGATTTTAAAAACGATTTCAGAATTTAATTGATTTTCACAATTATATTAGGACTTAGAAATAACAATTTAGTAAGGATTTGTATTATTGCTCCTAAATGTAGAATGTGCATAATACAATTTAATGTGTCAGTTTGTGTAAACTATATTTTTCTTTCATAAGGTTGATGACATAAACGCAGCTATGGCAGAACTGAAGAAAAAAAAGATTCGAATACTGAGTGAAGAGCCAAAAATAGGTGCACATGGCAAACCCGTGATTTTTCTTCACCCTAAAGATTGCCATGGAGTCCTTGTGGAACTTGAACAAGCCTGAGCTGTAATATTCATATATAAGACAATAAATGAGTTGTGAAGTTACTGATCTGGTGTTGAGAATATTGATGTACTATTCAATCTTTACAGATTCACTGCAGTTCCTGTGGATTAAGTACAGCTTTTGAGCACTAAAATAGTCTGAAGATTTTTTTGTTGTTGTTGATCTGATTTTCAGAATTAATGTGTTGACATTTCTTGAATTCTCTGTGATTCTAAAGATGAATGCATGAGCTAAGTTGCATATGTAACAGTGATTTTGTTCTATTGCCTCATGCTTGCAGCATGGTTTTACCTCTGTAACCACAGAAACTGTACAGTTTCTAGGTCATGCCACATTATTTTGTTCTACATTTCAGAGCAGAGACCCACTTCTCAGTGACAACAATATAGTGTAGATATTCCCTTTAGAATTAAAAGGAAAAGGAACATTGCACTTTCTGTTTTCACCATTCACCGCCTGTGCTTCACATTGATTGACTGGTTCATGCAATAAACAAATTTGTATCTTATTGTATGGGCATCTGCAATCATTAAATAACTTTTTCCTTGGCATAACAATCACTGCTGAGGAAGTTACCCTGCATAAATCATCAGTTAGTTGTTTAATGAACTCTGCATATGCAGGTGATGGGAAGAAAAGTGTCTGATAAATTATTTGACTGAAATATGTTTCAGACTATAAGATGCTTCTTGCATTTTTATTTTATTTTATTTTATTTTGTGGTCGGGTGTTGAATACTTTTTTTTCAAGCTTTATTCATTAGAAGATATTTGGGAGAGACCTGAACAGAGTGAGAATCTTTTCACTTGCTTTATAAATATTGCTTTTCTATGCAACAATATTTATAAATATTGTTTTCCAATTTTCTTACAAAATCATTGGAAAGCACAAGACATGGAAGTCTTGCTTATGTACACTGTCCTCACATCAGAGAACAGCATGCCAGCATAATTATGTTTCTAATAGACTGTAGTCACAGTTTGTTGACTTGGACAAACTTCACTTTATTTGTATATGTTAAGCAAGCAGCGTTTGTCCTGGTGTTTTCTTTTATAAGCTTGCTTTGATAATGTCAGACGTAGAAATTGAAGATTTGCTGTTTCTCTCATAATTTTTCATAATCCTTAAAATCATTATTTTTACTGGCTAAACCACGATCCGTATTTTATACTTTCTTGCATCCTTGCACATACTGTGAATAGTTTTGGTTTGATTTGAAACAAGCTCATTTTAGTATAGGAGATTTTTTACTTAATGGAAATGGAATTATTTGTGTTGTGCCCTGTTTGCTGCAACAAACCACAAGTATAACGTTGATACAAGATTTTGAAGGGCTTTCATTCAAGACATTGATGCTTTCTTATGAATTTTTCTTCTAAAACAAACTCTGCAAAGTTAAGGAAATTATTATTATTTTTTGTACTCAAAACAAATACTTCCTCTGCCATGTTGTAGGGAAAATACAGTCTTCTGCATGGTTCTTGTATTTGAACAAATCACTATTTAAAGGATAGTTTATGATATTAATTGTAAATTGTTAGAATTTAGAAATCCTAAGGCTCATGATGGAAAATAAGGATGATTTGATATTCCTGAAATATGATTCTACCATTCTAGGAGACATTCTGTTACCAAAACCACTGCAATACTAGCAGAGGATGTTGGGAAGCATCACTGATTACATGTCAAGATAATTGAACAGAAGTCTGTAAACCTAACACTGTTTGGTGACACAGAAAACAGGGTGGTCTCTAGGTTAATGTTTCATTTCTTTGTCCAACTGAAGGAGATGGAATTTTGTGTATGATATATTAAAAGTACCACTTAAGAGTAGTAGCTTGATGCAGTACTAGAGAATGGAGATTCTAGTGAACAATACTTAAGTCTACTTGTCTCGTTATGCTCCCCATCTCATTAGCAGACAGAGACTTGTAATGCTTTTAGCTAGTTACCAGCAATTTCCTGACTGACTGCATTGGCGTTGCCTAGCACTAAGTCAGCTGATGCATTTTGTTCATCATAACTAAGTCATGTTCCTATCTCACTCATAGTTTATATATTTCATCTTACTTTTCCTAAGGTGGGACTCAAGATATTAACAAAGAAATAATAAAAATATTTTAAAAAAGAGTTTAGGTCTGTAAAATTAATCATGCCCCTAATTGGGGCATATTTGTTACAAGCTCTTTGTTAGGATCAGAATCCTTACTTGTCTGGGAATGGGCTATAGGGTACCAGGATTTCCATCTGTGGAGCTGTAGACTTGTAAGGAATAGCCAAGAGAACTGGACAGATGAAGAAGCTGAAGACAGTTCAGACACACTGAGAGAAGTCTCCTCTTCATAGGCCTAACTCCAGTAAACTTCAGTAGGAACAGGATCAGTGCCTATACTTATATCAAACAACTAGTCCTTTGCTTTAAACAAGAGAGCCTTCCCAAGTCATTCTTTGAAATGTATCTCTGTGCTGACTTCCTAAGGGTTGATGTGTGCAGGGGAATGATTAGATACATGGGCCTACAGGCCTTCTTTGTTACTGCCATGATTATAAAAGGAGATTGATGTCACAAAAAAAGGGGAAAATTAAGGGATGCAAACGGGAGCAATAGAGAACGGTGATTTTTTTTTTCCTTCAGTAGAGGAGCACTTAATAATATACCTCTGTTGCACAAGTTCTGGAACGAACAACAGTGACTGGGATAACAGGAGGTTGATTAGCTTGTAAGGTTTTGACAATGTTTTGTTTTATTTTCCAAAAGGAAAAGCAAAATCTGATAATGTCAAGCTTTTCAGAAGATGAAGTGTTAATATTTTGTCAGTAAATTTTGTAGGCTTGTGTCATTTGTCAAGTGCAAGTTCTCTATTCCAGTTTCTCCATGTGTCTTTTTTCCCCTCTGAACTCAAGCATGTTCTTATTTTATGCTGCCTAAGGCAGACAAGACACATTCTTCTAGACTCCATCAACATTACTCAGGCAGCTAAAGGGCTCATAATTAAATAATGCAAAATATCTTTTTTGACTTCCCTTATGCAACCCTCAAGTCTCTGCTAGCTGGGAGGAAAATAACAGTCTGCAGAATGAAGCCCGTTCTATATGAGACAAACCTAGAAGCAAACTCAAAAACCGGAAAAAAGAACTAAGTACATGCCTTTTAAAAGCTTACAGTTTTGCCAGTCCACAAAAACTCTGTTCCTGTCGTACTTTTACTGCAATTAATCCAACTGAATTTAAGAATTCTTAGTATTTCATTATGGATTCATGTTCAATATTACCATATTTACCCAATTTATGGTAAGTTTTGAAAGAACTTACTCTATCATAATACCACAGCTGCAGTGTTTAACACAGTCGTGAGTCTGACAATTTGGAAAGCTCTGAATGAATTAAAAGAGGAATGGAAGATGACTGTTGCTTCTGCAGACCACTTCCTAGATGCATAATACTTCTACGTTTAGTACTGAGATTAGAGTTTACTTTATTTATGCGTCTGCAGAAGCATCGAGGACAGTCCTTGGCTTTGGACTTTATTGCTAAGACAGATGAATGGAAATTGGTGTGACCATGGAGGTCTTAAAGAGAGACCACCCTGGATGTTTACAATATCAAATTGAGGTACTTACAAGTAAGTGCTCTGAATCATTTAATTGGAGTTCAGTTGATTCTCTCCTTATATCTTCCTGTAGTGATCTGACTTGGGTTTGCTAGACTCAAGAACCCTATATTAAAAGAAAATTGTAAGAGTAAATTGTTTCAGTAAACACTCACTTCTTTACAATGTAATTGTCTTGGCCACATTATCAGACTGTGAAATAAAAACAATTCCTAAAACAGTAGCCCTATTACTTATTGTTAGGTGGTACTATAAACAGTAATGTAACTGGTAGATTAAACGTGGAATATTGAATCATTTAAGATTAATATGGAAATGGCAACGACAACAATGTATAAAGGAATTGGCCCAATGTTGACATTTTAAAATGGAAGACTTCATCTTAGGAACACAAATTTTATCACCTTCGATAAACAATTTCAGAGCAGTTTGAACATTTTATGAAATGTAAGTTGTTTATCTTGTTGTGAAGAGGGAAGGTCTGCCCCTTTGGATGGTATCATTCTTAAATATCTATGTCATGTATAGCTTCATGTTCATTTGCATTGTCTTAACAGCATTGTTAACTGCAAAGTACACAGTATATATTCGTAAGTGGGGAAGTTTTCCCAAACACTTGAAGTAGATATATTTCAAAGAACTTCATGACATTTCTAGATGTAATATAAAGTGATCTTTTAACTGTTTTGCTTTGTTAACATACAAATAGTATGTAGATACTAAGATCTTCTACAAAATAGACTTTTAATTAATGTTTTTACTCATTTTGAACACTGCATTTTTTCCAGTAATAAAGACAGGTTTAAGCCATGACTTAAAGAAAAAGTTCGGAATTATCTAGTACCTGTGAGTGCTCTGAAGGCATACGTGACCATGCACAGAAATCCTATCAACTACACAAAAAAGGGGCAAGAATAAACAAACACAAACTATTGTTTCCATGAAAGGTCTTCACATGTACATGGATTTTGATTTGATGCTCAGCAGCTGGTGCAGCGACCCTGGGACAAGCACAAGCACACCAGGCTGGACTTGTCACCTTTACTGTCATGAGAAACATTACTTTGTGCGTTCATTTATAATAGCTACGAGTCTGTATTCATACTTACGAGGAAGTCTTGTCATAATTGGCCTAATGGCACTTGATTTCACGTATTCTTTATACACATATACACTTGATTTCACATATTCTTTATACACATATTTCACATATTCTTTATACATAATCACTATCACCAAACTGCTATAGAAAGATCTAGTAGTTTCTGATAAAATGCCTGAGAAACCAACTATGCTTGTCATTCACTGTAAGAACTGTTGCTCATGGAGAAACCCACTTCAGTGAGCTTTTAAGTATTATAAATTTCACCATTTTTAATTCTTACATGGAGGATTCACGTATCATCAGCACAAGGCCATAAATATTATTATTTTACCTCATGAATCTCTCCCTACGGTGGAATGTGGCTGTTGGGAGTCCCCTGCTGCAAAGTTCAAACTTCGCTTTTTTTTAATTCGATGTCGAGCCCCTCACGGCGCAGGGGAACCTGAGGCGGCTGCCGGCGGGACGGCGCCGGGGCCGCCGCTACCTCAGCGCCCGGGGCGGGGAGCGCGCGGCGGGGGCCGGGCCGGGCTGAGGGGGGCCGAGGCGAGGCGGGAGCCCCCCCCGGCCCCCCTGAGGCGCCGCTGCAGCCGCGCTATGCGCCATGCAGGTTCCCGGGCGGCCGCTGGTATTCTCGCACGCAGCTTCCCGGGCGCAGCAGCAGCCGCCTCGGTGTGTGGCGCCGAGGCAGGCACACAAAAGAGCGGCTGCGGCTGCCCCCCGGCTGCGGGTGCGGGAGGGGAGCGGCCCCGCCGCTGGCAGCACGGTAAGGAGCGGGGCAGGGGCACGGAGCGGGGTGTGGCGGCGGCGGCTGCTGCCCTGAGGGGAGCGGGGATGCCCGGCGAAACCGGGGGGGGAGCCGCGCCGCCGCCGCCTCCTCCTGCCCGCTGCGGGGCCCCGCAGCCCCCAGCCTCGGCGGAGCGGGGCCATGGCGGGGCGGCACCACACGGCTCGGCACCCCCTCGGGAGCACGACGGGCCGCCCGGGGAGCGGGCTGGGTGAGAGGCGAGGCGAGCCCCCGTGCCATGCAGCACCGCCGAGAGTTTGCGGCTGCTTTCGTGCCCCCGGTGTGGCAAAGGGATCACGCGTTTTCATTTATTTATTTATTTTTCTTCTACACCCCCCCCTCCTCCCCCCCTTCCCTTCATCTGTCTGAAGGGAGAAGGCGGCTCAATGGGGAGATGTTGATCTTTCTCGGGATGAACAGCGTGAGGCATGATAGCGCGCTCCGTTCTCCTACCCCCCACCCCTTTTTTTTTTTTTTTTCTCCGTTTTTTTCTCCTGTGGTGTTGCCGTAACAAAAGGGCTGGGGGAGGCGGGGAGCGCTGCGCTTCAGCCGCATCTCGGCGGCATGAGGCGAGGCCGGCCCGGGCTGTCCCCGCGGCTGGCGGCAAGGAGCATTAATTAAACAGCACCACGAGAGGCTCCTGCACCGCCTGCAGCCCGGAGCTAACGTGCAGTCACCGAGCTGTAAGGAAAGTGTCGAATTGCCACGGCCTGTTGGGTGAGAAATGCAGATGTTTCAGCTATCTTACCTTGTCAAGGCCACCCTATAATCTTCCTGGAGGGGGTTGGGTGCCTGCAGAAAAGGTATTCCATGTATTTTGCCTCTTACCCAAGAATTCCTCGTTATTTTACCTGTAGACATGAAAAAACAAAGCGACTGCTATCATAGCTGTCTGTGGTTATGCATAAGCAATAGTATTTCTGCATAAGGTGATCCTAAAAGGATGCTTATGTAACTGTTCATTGATACTTGAAAGTAAAAATACAGTACATGCTGGTTATCTGTGTGTCGAAAAGCGTAAGATTTAAGCTTATCTTAAAGCATAAGATGTACATTTATCACTGTATTGTCCAGATTCTCCTCTCTGTGGGACAGACGAGCAGGACAGAGCTTGCCTTTCCGGACTGTTGTGCTACGGGCACTGACCTGCTGGAGGGGAAGGGGAGCCGCTGTGCTTGCTCCTCTATGGGCTCACAGGGTTTTGGGCTGCACACTTGTCCTTGTGAAACCTTGATTGTCAGGCTTCCTAAGCCTAAATTCTCTGGTAGTTCAGCCCTTATCTGCACATGGAAATATCTCAAGCTATTTTTACAAATGCATTGTTGCCTCTAATCAGCAGCTGCATTATTACTTTGCCTTGATCCTCGGATCATAAAGAAAAAGTGTTTGTGAAACGGCCATGGCTGCTCATCTCTTTGGCCAGTCTTATATTCTAAGGAAACATCTCGAAAAGCATCTTTTGTGCAGTTACTTGGTTAATGCTAATTCAGGTTGGAGACTGGAGGTGAATTTAAACAAGAGTTAGTTCCTTAAGAAGTGACCTTTGCTTAAGGCCGTAAACATGAGGAGCCACTTCAAGAAACATAATTGTACCATCTCTCCAGCTGTTCTGGTAAGAACATTTGCTGAGAAATAATTTCTGAAAATACCGTCATTTAAACCTCTTCCAGGTTATATTCCTGTGCTGAAGGTGGGGAAATCTAGCAAGAAGTGATCTGTTGCTGGCTACCAACTCGCAGAGAAAAATAAAAAGAAACTCATCTTGTACAGAAAGAAATGCTGGTTATAGCCTTATAACCTAATGGAGTTTGAGAAGCCTGGAGTTAATGTTCTGACAGGCAGGCTTTGGGTGCTTTTTCATGGCCCCAGACTTGTTATATCCATTTCCCATTTCATCCATGCTTCAATAAACAAGGCCACGCTTAAAGCCATTGCAACAACAGAGGCTTCTGAGAAGGCCCTGGGGTCCTGGGGGGAATCAAGCTGCACGTGAACCAGGTGTGTGCCTTGGCAGCAGAACTGGCCAGCAGCATCCTGGTCTGCATGGAATACAGCCACTAGATCAAGGGAAGTAATTATCCCCCTCTACTCAGCACTCATTAGACTGCATCTATAATGCAGTTAAAGGCTGGACTAGATGATCTTAGAGGTCTTTTCCAACCTGAATGATTCTGTGATCTCAGCAAAGGCAGTGTAATATTGGTATGATACACTGGCCAACTACTATTACCTGTGTTGATAAAGTTATGCTTTACTATAAGCCTCCTGAGAAAGATATTTGCTTGATATATTTATATTTTAATATAAGTATAAACAAGAGGAAGAACGTGCTTTTTAAGCAGCGTCTTTTCTGGTACTCGTGTGAGGCAGTTAAAGTCTTGGAACATTGCAAGAGACATAATGATGGTTCTTATAGTTGGAGAAAATAATGCATTGATGCAGTCATGTGGATTTCACAGGTTAAGAGGAAGAGCTGAAAGCAGAGTCAGAATTCACTAGTTTTGAGACACTCCACAAAACAAGCAATTGCTGAGCAAAATGTTCATTATAAGTACTTTGGATACTTGCAAATGCTTTTAGTCTACCAGAGAGAGCATTAATATGTGAGGATTATTTATTTATTTTCCTGAGGACCCATTTACCCTCGAGGGCTGTGTGAAAAGCAGCTCAAGGAAGCATCATGCTTGGAGCATTGAATTCTTTAGGCTTGTCCTGCCCACAGAAGATAAACATGCAGCACTTATACTTTATCATGGCATCTGTGAGGAGAGGGCTTTCCTTCAGAGTTTGAATTTTGTTTAAACTTCAGTCTCATCTCAGTGAATGGTACTATTTTCCAGGAGAAAGATCTTCTATAAGTGATAGATACAGAACTAAGTGTTTATTTCTGATGCTCATAGGTAAATGCACTGTCACTTGAATACATGACGTTCCTTTCCTTTCCTTTTTTTTTTTTTTTTTTTTTTTTGTTGCAGTACTTACTGCCTTCACCTACTGCAGCAGAGATGGATGACTTGCACTTCAAGAGGAGTAAGTTAGAGTAGAGCAGAGCTGCTTCGAAAAACTAGGATTAATAGGTACTTCCATCTAGGCAAAGGGGGGAGAACTGGAAGCCTTGTAGGTGGGGATGAGGAGGAAGCGTCATCATTCCCAGATGATAAGGTTGTGTGATGCATTGCTGGAGATGCATACTCTAAAGTATAATCATGCATGAAGGGATCATTTGCTTTTGAAATAGAGGTAGATAAAGAGGAAAGTTGGCAAAAGGTATATTAAAAATAAAAAATGCTTGGATAGTAGGAGTATGACAGTTATAAGCAATGTGAGGTTTGCAGTCTAGATAAGAATTTTTCAAATAGCAGCAATTCTGCAGTGCTGATATCTACCTGGACTCCCCCTGGGAGCTGCAGGAAGGAGTATCTTGGGATAGTTGTCTGTTTTGAACTATTAAAGGTGAAGCTTCCCTCCGAGAATAGCCCTTCTAGTTACAGACTTTACTAATCAAGATTCATCCACATAAGAATAACTCGCTTCATTTCTTAAGAAGACAGCTTGATTATTTCCATTCTGTTAATTAAGCAGTTTTTGAACTTCATTTTGTAAATTGATAAAAGGAATATTTGTGAATGTGTCACTAGCTAGCATTATTTCCAGATTTCTGTCTTTTACTTCTGGAAAGATCCCCCTCACAGACCCTTATCATCTGCAACCTTTGTGAAAGTTCCTCTCCCATCATCAATTGTACCATAACCCTGTTGATTTTCAAAGAGTGAAATCTGCTGGTTTTTCTTTCCTAAGCATTTCTACAAGAGAGAGGCCTGACCTTGTAAGTTTTTCTTTCTATACATACTCTGCCTTTGTGCATTAAGGGCTCACAAGATCTGACTGAAAAATTAGTGAAATTCCTTCACCTGAGTACAGTAGTTAGATATAGCTAATAGGCTTAATAAAGTGGTCATAGCAGGTAAGTTTCTTCTTGCTCTCAATGAGTATAGCAACAACTTAAAACTAAAAAAAAAACACAACAGGGCTCACAACTCAACGTAATGGTTTTGTAGCACTACGCGTGGGAGTTCTGGTAGGTATGCACATCCAGCTGCTTGAGCACCATAGTTAAGAATGCCGAGTAACTTTTGGGGCTCATTTCCTTTTTCCCCGGTAAGGTATCCTTGCTGTGGTAACTATCGAGAGTCATCTCTGCTTTCCAGTTGCTCTAATTTGGATTTGTTGTGAATGACAGCCAAGTGCTTATCTTAGCATGACACTATAGAGTTCTCTGAGGATTTAGTGAGATAGTAATTCCAGTAAAAATTGAACAGAAAATTCATATTTTTAGCAGATAAACAGAGATGGAGAATGTATGTTCTCACGTATAGACTTTCATCTTTACATCTCACTGTGTTAAGGGCCTAAGTCCACAGGAGGAACTTGAGGGAGTCAGGGTTTTAGGAACGACATTGGAATAAGCCCCTGAGATCACTATGTGGTCTGCTTCTCTGGGTAAGCTGATGAAGAAAGAAGCATAGGAACAAATGGAGAAGACCTTTAATCTCTGAGGTTTGTAACAGTTGATGTAAACCTTAGTTGCACTAACAAACTAGCCACAGACAGTAATGACAAGGTGACCTCAATTTTCCACAAACATTACTGTGCCCATCGTTTGGAGAATCACATGAACAGATCCCTTGAGGACCTCTGGAATTAACTCCGTAGGTTTCCTGCCATGCAGAAGATCACTGGTCTCGCACAAAGTGACCCTGTAGCACCAGGAAGTCCTCAGTCATGGGGAATATCAAGGCATTACAGCATTTCATGCCAAGGAAGAAACAAGCACATCAAAAGTCAGGGGGAACCAACTCTGTCACGAAGCATTTGTAACAGGGCAGGAACTTTTGAAGTGATTTTTGGTAATAAAAGTTGGAGAAAGCTCACCTACATAAGTAAGCACTGAAAGGTCTATAGGTCTGTCCCTTACTTCAGGAGCTCTAAACTGATTAGAGAAATATTATTAGCATATCACAGAGGAAGAGAACACGGGAGGGAAGGGGGGGGGGGGGGGCAAGATAACATCTATGTTGGTGGTGACGGTGGTGATAATCTGCATGTGAAAATTCCCTGAGGAGGAGGAGGAAGTGATGAATTTTTGAAGTGTAGGCTCCAAAAGAGTGAATATTTAGGCAGAAGTAGGGAGTCGGGCTGAGACATTAGCTGCAGTTCCAAAATCAAGGTGATATTTGCCTCAAATCAGATGAAACACAAAATATGAAGTCATTGGCGTGTTGCATGCGTCAAACCAGGACGATAAGCTACCAAGGAGCAATAAAATTGGGCTCTGTGCCTCTTTTTTTTTTTTTTTTTTTTTTGTACTCAAGTATTCCCAAACTACTTAGTTAAGTATTTCTAAGCAGCTTTTTTCCCCCTACCACTATACAAGCTGTAATACAGGGTGCACCAAGTTGCACAGGGACAGCGCCTATCTAAGCAATATTGTAATAACCTCCCAGAAGGAGCAGCTCTGTTTGGCATTCAGTGAAATAGCTGATCTTTATGCAAGAGAATGAATAATAAATAGAACAAAATTCCCCCCCAGCCTGCCATGTATTCGCTACCTTCATGCACGAGACAAACAAGGGATATTTGGGCAGACTTTGTCTCCCACTGTGCCCTTCAAAACCAAGATCCTCCGCTGTACTTCCCTGGTTCACCCGCCTTTCTTGGGGGTTTCAGAAGTGCTTGTTAACTTTGCCTTTCCCTGCCCCAGCAAAATGGTCACAGATTCTTAACTGAGCGCCTGGTTACTGAAGCGACTGGAGCAATGAAAAAGAATGACTGCTGCACAGATCAGATTCTGTTCTAGAATGACTTAGGAGTCTTTTTTGGTTGGTTGCTTGCTTTCAACAAGCGTGAAATGCTATCAAGCAATTGCCATTACTGTCTCGAGTCACTGATACCAGCCACCACAAAAATAGCATTTCAGTGCAAGGGAAAATGCACCCATTTGGTTTAGTCAAATCTTAAACTAGGCCTCAAAACTCATACTCCAAACGCCAAGAGGGATGCATTTTCAACAACACATCTGAGCGAGTGCATGGAAACGAGGTTGCTTGCTTCTCGTTCACAAGCAACATTTCTTTAGAGCCACCACGCTCTTCAAATCCACACCAAATCTCTCTCTCCTGGGAGTGAGGATCTTTTTTTTTTTTCCCTGAGCTGTAGGCTTTCTACTAAGGATGGCCACCCTGACTGCAATTTCCTGGGCAAGAGGGGTTTTTGGTTTGTTACTACCTGCTACCAGGTTGCATGATTGCTGTGCTGTCTTGAGTGAGGGTGCAAGTTCTCTCCCCAGTCTTTAATGCTCATATTGTTTCAAAGCCCATTACAACTACCAATGTAGGAATAGTCATAAAGGCAGGCACAACAAGAAAAAAAAAAAAAAATTTCTACTCTTATAAACTGATCCAGGATGGGAGCGAAGCAAAGGCTTGCCTTGGCTCCAAACTCTTACTATGCAGCATAGTGTGTTGTTGCCATGCTACCAGAATTGCTTGCCTTGAAATTTAAATTTACCCTTAACAAATTTGCATTTAAAAAGAATGAACTGTTAACAGTACATTAAAATATAAAATAACCTGACAAGCCATAAACCTTGCCACCAATTTGTTCATATATTTCTGACTTCTACAGATCTTTTTTTTTTATTCCCAAAATTAACGCTGCCACAACAACAGAAATCCCAGAGACAAATGAACCGACAAAATCTGGAAAGGCACTGTTGGTAGTGCAATAAAGGTTTATGTCAAGAGAGGAATATAAATGATAGTTTCCATACTTAACGAAAATGTGCATTTTGCCTACCTCAGTAAGTGCCTCTTGCCATCCTTCGTAGTCTCTGATTTAGCATTACAAAGGGAAATCAGAGTGTAATGATATTTTTGTTATTGCTGAGCTGTGGAGGAAAAAGAATGTTATATATGTACACACACACACACACACAATTCTTTAGATGCAAAAGCTTTTGTTACCGGAACATAACTCTTGATTAGAGATATGGCAGCTTTAAAAAGAAACTTATCCCTGTGATATTCTTAGCCAGTCAATCAGTGTGGCTTTAATTATGTTGAAGTATTTGACATATTATGGCCCAGGAGATAAGAGCTGTGGCATACTGGATGATAGGCAGAAAGAGGAGGAGTCCTGTTGGTGATTAGAAATTTCATGCTTAGTACCGCATCAGTGGTATGAAATGAGCAGTGGAGAGGAACGCTCCTGGTTAATGCTGAGTGGCATTGCGTTTCTGATGTTAATAATATGAAGGTTTTTGGTGGCATAATTCTGCATTCCTGGTAAATATCTGCCTGCTTTCTTGATCAAAAGCTTGCCCTGGAAATACCTGTGTAGTAGCAGTAGTATGCCTTTAAGTCAATTGTTGTTGTTTTTTAAATGTAATAAAGTGTTTTTCTTTGTGTTTTCAATAATGAGCGGAAATCTCCCTCTATTCTTCCAAAAGTGAAAGACATAGAAGGTGTTGTATATACATTATTACATATATGCATTTTTATATATTATATATATATAACACTTGCTGTTTTCAGTACGTGGAAAGATCACGTAAGGGTTTTTAGCAGCTCTATTCCACACTTATGCAATAATAATAATTTATCATTACAGCATGTGTTTCCACTGATATTTGCCTGTGTTGATTATTCAACACATACACATCATAACTGGACTCCTCAACTAGCTGCTGATCTAATTAGGAATAATGATTTAAACAAAGAAGTGCTGTTAAGATTATATTACACGAGGGAAAAATAACCTCACATCAGTTTTATTGCAGCAGAAGATGTGTACATTGGTACTGGGAGTCTTTTGTAGTATTATACTAGGTGAGATTTGGCTTTTGAATGTCTTATCAGAAAGTATCAAAGCAAAGGAAGTAAATTTGATAGCCCTGTTTTACAGATAGGGAGACACAAAAATGACTTGGCTATAATCATTCTCCCTGCTGGGTGACTGAACCAGGAGTAGCACTGAGGTATATGCAATAGTCTCCTAGTGGTTTACCCGTGTTACCATCCTGCTCTTGTTCCTGCTCTGTACAATAGCAATAACATGAAGAACAAACTGTCAGCTGATGAGTTTTCTATCGACCAAACATCCTGCTCACATTTTCACGTATGAATGCTTTGCTTCGTGAGAAGGTATTTTGTACAAAACATGATAAAGACCCATAATCATCTATGGTTTGCTTCCTAAAGATTGGAATGAGGGGAAAACTGAGTGTGTATATTTATATTTCCCCTTGATATTTGCAAAACTACTAGCCCTCTGTGGCAATATTTTTCTTTTCTGTGCATGTATATTTTTATTTTGGATTTTTTTTTTTTTAAATCACAGTTTAGTAAAGTCTTAGGCTTATTCTTGAGACAGCATTGAGTTAATTGGGATTTGTTAACACTTCTTAATATTGAGATTCTTGTGATATTTCATGCTTTAGCTACTGCTCCAGCTGCTGGTGTGTGAGAATCTCAGCTTCAAGTGTCTACTCACACTGGCTCCAAGAATGGAGAAACTGTGAATATGTACTTTAAACTTCTAAGGACAATATGACATCTTTAAATAATTTTGGAATACTTGTGATTGGCAATGCTATAGCAGCTGTGGTTGGAAATAAGTTGCTTAATATTAACAGGAGTCTATCTGAACGATATAAACTCGAGTTCCTGTTTGTCTTTCTGATGGTAGTTAACATTTTTATAACTGTGTTCAATAAGAAATAGGCCAGCCAAATGCCACCTGAAGTTTCTGAACTAGCTGTTTTATCACTAAGTACTTCATGGTGTTACATAGTTCCATCTATGTAATGATAATCCTAATTAAATTATTCTAGTAATTAAGGTAATGTAGCAAGCTAATACTGTACTGGTAAATAAATAACATCACAAGGCTGGGACACATTTGCCTGGACTGGTAGTCCTGACTTTCCTAGCCTTCCTGTGTTCTGGCAAAATGGATTGTGCCTTTTGACAGGATGAAGTCCGTGTTGCCTTTAAGGTTGGCTCCCCCTCAACACCGCAGGAGCCTGTGACGCCAGCTGGGGCTGAGGGCTGACGTTGTGTCCCGTTTGCACACTGACTGCCACCTCCTCAGGCACTGCTCCTCCTTCCTCCTGCTCGCCTCCTCAGGCCACCCACAGAAAGCGTGCTCAAGTCCACAGGGACCCTCATGTATCATAAAGACAACTGACGGGGGAAATTCAAACAGGAGTCCTCAGACAGTAAGGTTTGAAGTGTTTTTCTCTAGTTGCAAGTTTACCATACACAAGAAACTAAACTAACCAACACAGTGGCATCCTGAATAAAATGGAGCTGCTCAAAAAAAAATGGTCTTTATTGTGGCAGAGCCCACGAGCCAACCAGGAGCACAGCATCCCTTGTGGTAGGCATTTCCAAAGACAGCTGTAGACTGTCCTTGCTCATAAGACTGAACTAACTAAATAGACCTGACGGTTTGGTGTCTTCTGTTTACATTTGTCTGACAGAGGAAGAGACTATTGCAAGAGTGTAAAGATGTGGTGCAGCCAATATGACCTCATATTAGGGTGTGAAGCACTGGATTTAATCAATAACAGACAAAACATTTACTGAAAACTTGGAATAATAGGTATGTCCATACTTATCAGGTAGAAGAGCCTAAATGTACTTAACTGGAAAATCTCCATTTCATTTTACTGCTTGCTTGAATTTTGCTCTTAACCTTCTTGCTGGCTTAAGCTATGAAGATGAAAATAGCTACCTTCTTAAATGTATGCATTAAAAGATTTGCCTATGTAAGTATGAAGAACATGGGAACCCACACAAGTTGGAAAAAGGTTCTCTGCTGTGGAGATGATAAAGGGGTGGCTTTGCAGTTATTACACTGATTCCAGCATTATTTGTCCTTGACCACTGCTGCGTCAATGCGTGGGGTGTGTTGGTTTGGTTTTGAACGAGCTCCTCTAAGCCTGCTTCATTCATCTGTCACCTGTAGACAGACTTACAGATTTTTAAGCTTTTTTTTTTTTTTTGTGGTAAGAAAGTCTGTAGAATATTCAGCACGATGAAATCCTGGTTAATAGGCTTTTCCGCAACAGACTTAATTTAGGGTTTATTTGCCCCCAGCTGACTGTTGTTACTGTAGCAAATAAAAGATGCAGAATTAAATGGAAAGGAAAATCCTATGTGACTGTGCAGGGCTTAAATCTGATAAAGAGGTGTCAAATGGCACAGAAGTTGATTACAGCCCTTCAATGTAGGCTACAAATGATGGTACAAAATTGTATCCTATGGGGAAACCTTCCAAGTGCCTGCCAAAATCCACAGAGAAAACCCAGAGAAGGTCTGCACTGTGCTAGGTTCTTGTTCTACAATTGGAGGCAATTTTTGGTACTAAGGGACAGTGACATGTCTTTGCAATTCAAGTGGCTGCAGGGTAGCCTTTGCTTTGAGCTGGATGCAGCTCAACAGCTTTTCATGACAAAATCTTTGCTATTTCTACAAACCTCCCTGAAGCCCTCTGCCCCCAGTGTGTCCCACCTGCCCCAGCAGGGCTGGAACGGTGCGACCTCTTAGGAGGGGGGACTTCTCGCTGGGAGGATCAGGCTGCCATGGGGTAGTTATTAAACCATAATAATTAAACTTACAAAAACGAAGCCTAGTTGACTTAATGATAGAAAAATAGGAATTTGTCCTATTGTTAGAGGAATTAGTCTACGTTTGACTTTCCCAAGGAGCACAATTATATATGTATCCCTTAAAGATCATATTCTGCCAGCTGTTGTGCTTCGTGCTATATATAAATGTAACTGGAGGCAAGACATTATTTTTTCTAAACCTGATACCAGAATTTATACACTTACTGTCCAGAGCATCAATTGAAGAAAAGCCTTTCTATTTATGACCACATAATCAAAACACTGAAGAATAAATATTAGCAAGAGTCATATTGCCATTTACATTCCTGCTTAGTAGCTGCTTACTGTGTGCTTAGTGATGAGAGATGCAGAATACTGAATTGGAAAATGCACAGATAAATAGAAAATAGGCTGTGATCCACAGCGTACCAATGTGCTGTCTCAGGTAAGATATTCCAGTGATTTGTTAATTCATTTTGAGAGGAAAAGCATTAATTCCTGAAGGTGTTATCAAAATGCATAGCTACATTTACTGAGAGCCTAGGAAACGTACTGATCATTCAAGCAAGTTAAACAGAAAGCTATTGTCCTACCAGAAATGAAATAAATTGTATGGGAAAATCTTGTTTTCATGTAAGCTTATACCTATATCTCTAAAGCTTAATTAATATTCCTCAAAATACATTCTAATCCTTTGATAAGCCAGTGTGACACAAATAGGGTAATAAACAGATACAGAGCATGAGGCTTCCTTCATGGAGCTCTTCCATACTTGGGCCCAACTTTAATAACCCTGTGCAGAGGTACAGGAGCCTTACGCTGCAGGATTAATGCCCTTTATCTGACAGGTCTGTTATGTATGGCTTTTTTTCATCTGATACCATTATTTTACATGCTGCAGTCAGGCAAGCTGCATTCCTCAACAAATCGTGTGTTTAGGCCAATCGTTGATCCAATTAACCCTGACACTGCATCTTCAACCACAGTGTATCTTTAATGAGGAGAACGGCTGAAGCTGCACTGATACTCATTGGAATACTGCGTAACAGTGAATTTTCAGCTTTCTTCTTGTTCAGTGCTGCACTGGTACCTAATTAGCCAGTCGATTACTGATAGGGAAGGTCTGTCTACATGTGTGAACTTCTATATCTTCAGGTACAGACAGACTCATTCCAGCTTCAGATACAGAAGACCAAATAAATAATAAAAACTCACAAAAGAACAACAAAACCAGTAACGACTGAAAACAGGCTGAACATTTCTGAATAGTTAGG